TGCAACTGTAAACTTGTTTTAAAGTTGACTGTCAGTGAATGAAGTGAGTAAAGATCACTTTTGCGTTGACCCCCCAGGAACAGGACAAAAGCAGGAACAAAAGAGAAGATAATATATATCAATCTCTCAAGCTTAGCATATGCGTAAAGATAAGTTTGCCCTCTAGGCAGTTTTTAATGGAAGAACAAAGAGTGTCCAAAGAAAACATAAGCTCCCTGATTTACTTGGTTCCAAGATTTTGAAGATATCATTATATGGAAAGTATGCTGGTGCATTCCAGCTGTCATTGCCAAAAGCTATATATGTTTCCCCACATTTTGTGTTGTCATTAAGCTCATGGTTGTACTTAAAGGCTGACTAATTTGAAGTACCCATGACTGTATTTTTGTGTAGTTTCTAATATTATTTTGTGAAATAAGAGACTAAAAGTAATACTATGGAAAATTCTAATTAAAATATAAAATAAATCACACTAAAGATATACGTATAAAAATGTAATCAGCATCCAAGGTCAGACTTATTTCAGTGCAAAATCAAGTGAAAATCCAATAGCCTCTATAAAAAGATTATCTTTATCCTCTGGCAGAAGGACATAATCTTGGTCTCCCTTAACTGTCATTTCCCCACTAAGTGCGCTTTCTAGAATTGAGAGACAAAAAGAAATGATGTTAAAACCCCATGGATGTTCATTTATTATTATATGCCTTCAAGATTTATGGTGATTCTGTCCTAGGGTTTTCTTGGCAAAATTTCTTCAGAGGAGATTTGCCACATCACTCCTTTTAAGCTGAGAGTGTGTGATTTGCCCAAAGTCTTCCAATAAGCTCCTATAAGGCAATGAGGTTTCAAACCCCGGCCACTTGGAGTCCAAGCCCAACATTCACACCAGTACAACCCACACAGACTTGTAAAAAAGAGTCACCAATACATTGTTTTACAGAACCTTATAAATCATAACCTGCACCAATTTGTCTTGTCCCAGTAGCCAGTAAATCCACTGTGACAGAATAGTCCCATAAGTCCCTAGAGTCAATCTTAAGTGAGTAGGCTGGCTGTTCTATTCTGGACTAGGTGATGTTCTGAAATATTTTTGAAAGCCTCCCCATCCCCCCTATTAACCACATTACTTTCGCTCAAACGAGGTGCAAACTGTACAAGGTACTTCAGTGTACACCCAAATGTTGGGTGTTCAGCTTCTTATCTGAAACTAGGAGCATATCCCAATTCCCAGCTGGAGTCTTTAGAAGGAGTTTAGCCCCACACAAGACAGGTTGAATCTCTAGTTCTCTGTTGGTAATAAATAGGAGTAGCTTCTCAATCTTATTTGGGTCAAACTATAATACAGTTGCCCTTATCAAGTTCATGATATAGTGGTTTAGAACTTAAAGTAATTTATTTGAATTTAGTTGGAAAGGAGAAAGAGAGTTGGGGTTCTTTTTCGTGTCAGGAGTGACTTGAAAAACTGCTAGTCGCTTCTGGTGTGAGAGAATTGGCTACCTGCAAGGACATTGCTCAGAGGATGTCTGTATGTTTTTTTTTTTACCATTCTTGTGGGAGACTTCTCTCATGTCCCTGCATGGGGAGCTGGAGCTGGCACCAGTGAAGTAGCAGGATACCCAGGGAGCTGGCCTCGCCTTTGTTTGTCATCTAGTTGTATAGTGCAGGGGTCCTCAAACTTTTTAAACAGGGGGCCGGATTACTGTCCCCCAGACCGTTGGAGGGCCGGACTATAGTTTTTTTAAAAAAACAATGACCAAATTCCTATGCACACTGCACATGTCCTATTTTACTACTGTTATGAATCGTAATGTAAATATCTGATATGCAGGATGTATTTTTATTGTTACAATCTGAACATAAAGCATAGTTTTAGCATTTCTGAAGATAAAATAGTTCCAATTAAAATGAGGAAAACATTCTATTTTCTGTCTTTTTGAAAGTGGTTTTTGGAATATGTAAGCATGAGTCCCCTTTCAGGGGGAGAAGGGCAGGGTATAAATATAGGAAATAAATCTATATAAATAAAAATGTAATGTTTGTTTGTGGGATTAACAGAACTCAAAAACCACTGGACACCTAACAATGTATGTCCTTCACTCAAAAAAAATTGATTTTGTCATTTGGGGGTTGTATTTGCTGGGATTTATAGTTTTCCTATAATCAAAGAACATTCTGAACCCCATCAACGATGGAATTGAACCAAACTTGACATAGAGTTCTCCCATGATCAACAGAAAATACTGGAAGGGTTTGGTGGGCAGTGTCCTTTGGTTTTAGAGTTGTAGTTCACCTACATCCAGAGATCACTGTGGACTCAAACAATGATGGATCTGGACCAAACTTGTCACTGATACTCAATATGCCCAAATGTGATCACTGGTGGCGTTTGGGGGTTGTATTTGCTGGGATTTATAGTTTACCTATAATCAAAGAACATTCTGAACCCCATCAACGATGGAATTGAACCAAACTTGACTCAGAGTTCTCCCATAACCAAAAGAAAATACTGGAAAGGTTTGGTGGGCAGTGTCCTTTGGTTTTAGAGTTGTAGTTCTCCTACGTCCAGAGATCATTGTGGACTCAAACAATGATGGATCTGGACCAAACTTGTCACTGATACTCAATATGCCCAAATGCGAACACTGGTGGCGTTTGGGGGTTGTGTTTGCTGGGATTTATAGTTCACCTGCAATCAAAGAGCATTCTAAGCTCCACCAATGATGGAATTGAACCAGTCTTGGTACACAAAACTCACATGAACAATAGAAAATACTGGAAGGCGAGGAAGGTGTCTCTCCAGAAGGGCCCCACGGCGTCCTGGCTGCTGCCCTCCCTCCTTGCACCCGCAGCAAGTGAGGGAGTGAGTGCGCGCGGGACCTCTGGGAGGGGAGGGGGGAAACTGTGGAGTGGGGTGGCCCCTCCCGCGCGCTCTCAACGGCGCCTCCCCCCCCTCCGAGCAGCAGCAGCAACAGCCGAAGGCGAGGGAGGTGGGGATCCAGGCGCACGCAGCGTGAGAGGGAGGGGGTAGAAAGGGAGGGGGAGGAGGAGGCACGCGCGGCGGCACTGACGGGACCCAGGCTGCGGAAGCCAGAAGTTTCCTCCCCTCCCCTTCTTCTCTCTCTCTCTCTCTCTCTCTCTCTTACCCTCTTTCTCTTCCTTCCCTGGCCCGTTTCCCTCCTGACTGACAGCCAGGAAGAGAAAGAGGGTAAGAGAGAGAGAGAGAGAGAGAGAGAGAAGAAGGGGAGGGGAGGAAACTTCTGGCTTCCGCAGCCTGGGTCCCGTCAGTGCCGCCGCCGCCGCGCGTGCCTCCTCCTCCCCCTCCCTTCCTACCCCCTCCCTCTCACGCTGCGTGCGCCTGGATCCCCACCTCCCTCGCCTTCGGCTCTTCCGCAGGAGAGCAGAGAGTGTTTCTCCCTCCACAGGCTTCTCCGGAGGGAGAAGCCTGTGGAGGGAGAAGCGCAGCAGAGCGGATTCCATTGCTCTGCAACAGAAGATTGCTGACGGCGAGGAAGGTGTCCGTGAATGGTGGCGGCGGCGCCGGGTGGGCGTGGCCAAGCGATGCTTGCTTCCCACCCGGCGCCGCCTCCAACATTCGCAGACCCCTTCCTCGCCATCAGGGATCTTCTGTTGCAGAGCAATGGGGTCTGCTCTGCCGCTCCGGAGGGAGGGAGAGAGAAACGCCGCTGACGCAAGCGGCGAGGGGCTTTGTGCGTGGCCAGGACAGGCCGCGCGGGCCGGAGAAAGGCCCTTGGCGGGCCGCATGTGGCCCGCGGGCCGTAGTTTGGGGACCCCTGCCCTAGAGAGTTGGGTGACAGCATGCTAATGGCACCAGGTATATTTCAGATAAGTGTCCCAGTATTTTCATGTCTACTTTAAATAGCATGGTAGCACATTATCTCCAAAGATCATTACACCAAACGGGAATTCTGCAGGATCACTTTCTGAAATTGTCTCTTCAATGAGAACTTGAACTTTGTCATTCTAGATAAGCAGCCCTAAAAGTTACCATGATTGTTCTTTCAAAGGCCAGAGTGTAGTTTAGCAGAACAATGATGGTGAAGACACATAATCTGACCATTTCATGATGTAGGACATCCTCTCAGGAGACCAAAGTGCACTTTCATATACAACTGTGAAGCCAGGTTGAAATAGTATTAGATCATGCAAGTAATCCAGAAGAATCTTAAGTTGTGGTGATGCCTTTTTGAGTTGATGGAATCATATCCTTTTGTAATGGAGCATTTAAGCTAAACTTTGTGTGGGAGAAGTGTGGTAATATGCAAGGATGCAGGCACCACTTTTGTACCATAAAATGTTTCATTAGGTTCAGTCTTGATTATTTTGAACTATATTATATAAACTTAATGAGACACATGACTTTTGCGGGGAGAACCATTTTAATTACTTGTCTATGTGTGGTGTTTAGACAAAAGGTTAATAGTCTTGTCTTCTCTGTGGTTAGTGTTATCATGCTCAACTATTTTAATTATGGTGTGTTTACAATGGAAGTGGAAACACATTTATATAAATTTTTAGCAAGTAGTCTTATGAATTCACTGTGTTCTCACTAGGCACTTAGAATTTACCAATGTGTAGTAGGATTTGATGCTGGAAATGTTTCTTTAGGAGCAGTATGAAAAAAGCAAAATTCAGCTCACTGTTGTTTTAAAACATTTAAATGTATTAAGTTTTAATACATTTCTGCAATATATACAGATCAGAATAGGTTTGTTCTGAATCAGGTAGACTTTTCTTATGTCCTTATACAGAGTGAGATTGTCAGAATATATTCATTCTTTCACCTAGGATAGCTATGTTTAATTTTAGGCTGAGTTTTAGTTCCTTACCTAAAGACAATATTTTTAGTTGTTTACAATTTTCTGTGTTTTAGTATTACTTTTGTGGGCACCAAGATTTTGCTTTACTGTTGTTAAGATACTTGTTTGAAATGTTAATCTTTATAAGGCTGATTTTAATTTTATTTTATTGCTTCTTAACAGGGACCTGCGATTTAATAGAATCAAGGAAATTCAACCTGGTGCATTCAGACGGCTTAAAAATCTGAATACATTGTAAGTTTTATTGCTGATAGAACTTGTTTTCCTTTTTGTAAACCCAGTTTAAACCTATATGGTATTATTGTTACCTTCACTTAATAAAATTAACCTCTTCAAAGTTGCTGAGATTTTTCTCTGTTTATTGTCTAGTTATTTCTCTGTCATTTCTATTCCCCAACTAATTAATATTTTTTCCTACTTGGTCAATATTCTATGATATGAATAAATATAATTAATAGTGGTAAGAAAGTTACTATGTTGTTCTGAGAAGGAGGAAAACGGAAATTTAGTATTATTGCATATCTGTAATTTCTCTCAATCAGAGCAGGTTCGGCTGCCATCAGCCTCTGGTGCCTAAGTGAATTCGGACCACCAACATGTCCTGAATATAAAAGTCTTAATGATTTAGTATGAACTGCTACTTAGGTACCTTGCTGGATCACATAAAAATTACAGTAGGTTTCCACAACAGTGTCCATCAGATATAATTGATGACTAAGGCCCCATCTACACTGTCATGCAATCCAGTTTCTGAATCCAGATTATCTGCTTTGAACTAGATAATATGACTGTAGGGTCATACAACCCAGTTCAAAGCAGATAATCTGGATTCAGAAACTAAATTATATGGCAGTGTAGATCCAGCCAAAGAACCAGAATTTCTTTTCCCACTCTATTGTACTTCCACCATGTATTCCAACAATGGAATTACAAGACTTGACACATAGAACAGGCTGAAATACAGGCTGCTTTATTTGGCATATGCCTTTATTTGGTACTGAAAGGAGCAAGAAAGGAAACAATCTGATGGAAGTCCAGCTGAGGCCTATTTCGAGACCACCTCCACAGCTATCCTTCGGCTGAATCATTTGAGCCCTGAGGGCAGTCCAGACATTGGCATTACTTCCTGGCCAACCAATTACTGGGAAGCAAACTTGGGGCACTTTCATTTCAGCTGCATAGCTTCTGAGTAAGAGCAAAATCTCAAGGTTTACCTTAAGAGTATACTCCCCTCCCCAAACACTCCAATCTTGATGGCCCACAGAGACTTTTCCTGAGCTGTACCCTACACCAAAATTGGTGCCAAGGTGAACACAGACATTATACCTTTTACCCCCATTACCTGCCAGATGATGACCACCCCAGTCAGTTGCCAAAGTCTCTTGGATATCGTGGTTGTACGCAAAACAACAAAAAAACAAACAGCCCCCCCCCCAAATATAAAGAGGGAGAACATTCTTGCCCAGCCCCAAAGTGATCAGAGAAGTGCACACTGCCCCGAGGACAGGAGGATGATCGCATTTAGCACATGAAGGGGTGGCCAGACCTTGCAAAGCTTGTAACCCTGTCTGCCTCACATGCAACATTTTGTGCTTATAGCACCTGATTGTAAAGAACTAGAATATCTTTCCTCACTCTAGCCCATTATGCTTTCAACATGATTGTGTAAAGTACAACAGGCAAACAGTAAAGACTTTCGAACGCTTTCTGATCTCTTTACTCAAGTGTCTGAAAGAGAAACTACTAAGTGCAGAGTGCTAGAGTATACTATACCATTTATTTGTCTACTTGATGATTGAGTTAAAAATTTCATAGCGTCAGACTGCAAAAGAGGACCCAAAGAATACCAGCATCCCATGTTCTGTGGGTTGTGCACATATGCTGTAATAGAAATCAGAGATGAAAAAGCACAAAGAAAAGCATTTGACTCCAGCCAGATGAATCAATCAAAATGTCACATTCATTTTAAATACATAGACAAAGCACATCAGTAGGGGCCAAATTGGATGGCATTACTTAGTGGTTGAAGAGAACCAAAGCCTCAAAAGTTATGTCCTTTCTTGGAGATTAAATAAAATAATATTCTGCTTCCTCAAAAACAAACAAAAAGGACAATATTTTTGTTACCAGTAACCAAAACATTAGGAAAGGTAAGCAAGGTATAGATTGCTTCATCTATCTGTTTTGTTTATAAGCAAAGTTTTTTCATTTATCCCACACTTCAAAGGTTTTCTGTGTGTGATATACTGAAAATGTTTTCCCTTTCCCTTCTCTATTTCTATAAACGCTTCTTCCTCTATATTTTCACAATGAAATAAAATTAAGATTACATTTATATGAAATCATTTAAAGCATGTTTTAGTTTTGTTGTTTGATGTAGTGAAGCAATGCAATTTTTCTTGTAAACATACTGCGGAAAATAAGCATATAACTGTTTTCACTTATTTTCCAGACTTCTAAACAACAATCATATTAAAAGAATACCAACTGGAGCATTTGAAGACCTCGAGAATCTAAAATATCTGTAAGTTGAAACATTTTTAAAGAAGGGTAGATCTGAGGTATGTGCTGTTCTGTGCAGAAGCTTGAAAAAATAATTTCTAAATACATGGGGTCATGAAAGCATTTTGATCACTTTTATAATGACCACTTCATTTTATCCAGGATTGAACATAAATGAATAGAAAAATATTGAACATACTTGGGAATAAAAAGAACAGGATAACTTTGAGTTAATTTCTTTTGAAATATTTATTTTTATTAATGTATTGTTAATACATGTTTCCTAAACCCCAGGAAAATATAGATTCAACTACAGTTTAGGATGGAAGTTGAAAAACCACAACTATTTGGGGTGGGGGAGGTATTTGTAATGGGGTGCTGCCACTGCAATTCCCAGAGGGGCTATCTGCCATGGTCCCATTGGACAAGAAGAGGAGACGCAGGCCTGGCACACTGCCACCACGTAATTTACCACGCAGATCTTGGATCTATTTCCTCTTCTTGTATGATACTTGTGTCTGTTTCACCTGGGCAAAGAAGAGGAGAAACCAAGGGAAACAGGAAGATAAAGCACTCAGGAACAAGAGGAGCGACAGACCCTGGACATACCACAGTATCACTTACCCTGAAGATCCTGGCTCATTTTCCTTTTCCTGTATGCCACATGTTTCTGTTTCCACTGGTTCCTCCCTTCCGTTACCTGGGCAAAACAGACACACAGCATGGAAGAAGAGGAAAAGGAGCTAAGATTTGCAAGGTGAGTGGGGTCTGTTTCTCCTGTGTGATTTGCAAGGTGAGTGGGGTCTGTTCCTCCTGTGTGTCGTCTTAACAATTCTGGCTTAGTGTTTTGGGCTGACCCAGCCATTGTGAATGCTAAAAGATTCTCTCTCATTCGGTATGGCACAATAAGTGAATACTTTGTGGTTCAGTATATGTTTCTTTTGATCAACTTTTGACTTTGCAAGAATTAGCTTTCCATCGACATTATTTTTCTTAGAGAGAGGATCAGGTTGCAGACTATTCTGTTAGAGGCTCTTTGCCCATATTTGGTGCCTCTATCTTGCTTTCTCAGATTCCATATGAAGATGAGATTAGAAATCAGTGCTAATTGGTCTTTCTATACATGTCAGAATGACATAGCAGCTGAGCTTCCCACGCACTCTTCCAGATGGCTTAATACAAAAACACAAACTTACTCTCTCTTGGTAGATCTAATCAGTCCAGTAACAAAAAAGTATATGACTGGGTATGCAGGTCAATTACCATCAGATCATTTAGTATTGCCAGGGTGACTCATGCCAAAAAATGAATAGGTACCATTGTAGAATGAGTGGTAAATTATAAATTAGAAGAGCAGTGGGAAAGAGTAAAATGCTTTGGCTTATTACTGATTAATGAACCACACAATTTTACATTGACACAGAAATGCTGACAGTGTATATTGTGATGGGCAGGGACTGGCAGGGGTAAAGGCAATGCAAAGAAAGTGGAACGAGTCCATTACAGAAGCCAAGAAGGAGATGGAAAGTGTGGAAGAAAATGAAGATAGCAAAGGCAGTTTTGACATTCTGTCCACTGGTCAACTGTATGTTGTGGGTTGGCTAAAAGCTGGCAGTTCTCTGGAACTTTTACTTCCAGAGAAGTAAAAGTTGAGGATGAAAGCCAGTCAGGGCTCAAGAAATTCCATAAGGTGATATAATTTCTGTCACTGGTGTGTTGATATCGCTGCCACTATACAAAAGGTCTAGAGAAAAAAAAAGTAATTGCACATTCTGAAGAGGAAGAAGAAAAAATGAATAAAACAATGGATTTAGAAGTTGGAGGCAAAGGGAAATAATAACAGAAACTGATACTTCATTCCTAAACACCCAGTGTTATTTGATCGTGATCCACTTTAGTTCAAACATACCACATTTGCCACTTCTTTGCACATGCTGCTCAACTGGTTCCATTTTCTTTGAGCCAGTGGATATGGTTTGTATAACCTATTTGTAAAGCTGAATAGATATTGAGTGCTTTTGTATGTTAAGATTATAATTAAGCTTAAATATATAGCTGTTTCAGAGTGTTATATAAATGCTAAAGTGGAAATGAAGTATCTATTCTTACACTAGGAAATAATTCTAAAAGTTTATTATTATGATTTTATCCAGTATTTGTAAATACATATATAGAAGTGAGACATTATTTACAAAATTTTAACTTCATCTGGCCTTTCAGAAAAACCTTAGTCTCATCCTTTCCTTCTTCATTCCATTTGACATGCACTTTGTATTTGAGCAAGTCACTGATAGGACAGACAGAAGATTAATATATTTTGTGGACCTTTTTTCAGAAGGTGAACCCCACCCGCACTCAAAATAGTTATATCTACCCAGCCACTGTAAGTGTCAGTCTTGTTCTCCCCCATAAACATGGGATTAAGATATTAGGAACTATGACAGGTCTTTTCATTTAATTGAGTGTTTTAAATATGAGATAATTAATTTGAGTAAGTAGAGTTCTGCAATCCCTACATTTTAAAATGAAAGTTAGTTAGTTAGGTGATCCCTCGTAGCCTGAGGATGATGGCCCTCCAAGTGTAGTGTCCTAGCGGTAGCTACGTAGGTGGCTGTGGAGACCTATTCTTGACCCTCATGTTCTTCCGCAATGAGGAGATTGGTTTCCAGCTTGAAGGCAGTCCCAGTCAGGGTTGGCTTTCATTTTAAAATGAAAAGAGGTTGACATTGGTAACCGAAGATAAAATATTTGCAGATTTATGTGCAAAATAAACAAACAAAATAAAAAAGAATGTTCCTCCTTTTTTACAAATAGATTATAAAGCAAGACACAGAACCCCTGATGGCGCAGCGGTTTAAGCCACTGAGCTGCTGAAATTGTTGACCAAAAGGTTGGCAGTTTGAATCCGGGGAACGGGATAAGCTCTTGTTGTTAGCCCCAGCTTCTGCCAGTCTAGCAGTTTGAAAACATGCAAATCTGAGTAGATCAATAAGTACCGCTTCTGTGGGAAGGTAATGGTGCTCCATGCAATCATGCTGCCTACATGACCTAGGAGGTGTCTACAGACAGCACTGGCTCTTCGGCTTAGCAGTGGAGATGAGCACCATCCCCCAGAGTCAGACACAACTAGACTTAATGTCAAGGGAAACCTTTACATTTTCTAGAAAACAAGACAAGAGAAACAAAAAAAACCCCCTTGTATTTCAGGAAACCACATTTTAATGTACTCATATCCCTGTTTTGTTCAATCCTTGTTTAGCAATACCACCAACTGAGATCTCCCTTGTTTCTTGTTATTTAAAACAAAAATAAATTTAATTAATAAATCCTTTTTCCTTGCTTTTGTCATATGTTTGCTTTAGAGTTTTGAGTCTTTCCATTGCTAATGTTTGTTGTCATGTACTTATTTACAAAGATGTTTAGCAAGATCTTTGTGCACAATCTAATGATGGATCCCACATCAGATCTGTGTACCATTCATTTCATTAACAAATGGTCAAACACTCCCCCAATAACACCTTGTTGCATAACATCTTTAGCTTTTCAAAGCTACATTGTCTCAATCTTGGGGCTTATATTTAGGTTATGCATTTATTTGTATATCATTTTATCTGGTAACGTTTTACGAACAGAAGAGCAACATCGTTTCAGCTAAAATACATTCTTCACATTGAGTAGCAGTTTTAATGTCGTTGCAATGGATTGCCATAATGAATAAGTTCAATCTTATGAGTAGTTATCTCCACCATAGTCCTCTAATTCTTTCTATGCCTGTGGTCTGTAAGGACAGATAAACCAACACTGTAAACAAAACAAGCCATTTTGATATATCATTTTAAATCTTTCACAATTTATGTTTGGATTCTAGAGGCTGTGGCACAAAATCTCAAGTCACAAATGCTTTTTTGGGTTGTGTATACACGTCTTGTTTTGTTGCGTTGTAATGTGTATTTTGGAACACTGTCCTCATGTGTCACCTTCATTCTTTCCCACATTAATGTAGCTCTTGTTTGTGTATACTAATATTACTGATTGTTTCTTGTTTCAGCTATTTGTACAAGAATGAAATCCAGTCAATTGACAGGCAAGCATTTAAAGGACTTGCCTCTCTAGAACAACTGTAAGTGCCTTTTCTCTTCTGTGCTGTCATCTGCTTGGTTGCCTCAGAGGAAAAGTGCACGTTTTGTTCAATATTTCTTGCTTGCATGCCTTGCATGTCCGCACAGAATGAGTATTCTGTTCAATGTGGTTGCAGTCACTGGCACCCAGGAAACGTGTTTGTCAAAGTTTTTCCTCCATGTACCTTCTCTTCCATACATGTTTGTGGTTTATAGCCCAAGACTATCAATCCACTATCAATCGACTTACAGTGACTTTCAAGAGAATGCACAATTTTGAGTGACCAACATTAAATATCTGTCTTATTTATTTATTATATCAGCAGCGAACCAAGAGTACAGTTCTAATTTATTTAAAAAAAAAACACACACACACAAAGTTTAAAAACTTAGCATTATATTATATGTCCTTTGACCAGTACCTGGTCCGACGGCATATAATATATGTATCCAAGACTGGATATTTGCTAATGAAGTTGCAGAATTCAGTGCTGGTGTATCTCCTGTTTCCAGTCATAAACCATCCCAAAACTGATTTTGAGGAGAAGAGGAAGGGAAAAAGTTCCAAAAATTTGCCAACATCATGTAGGAGCAATTCTGTAGTTTCTTATATATGATTTTGCTTAGTTGTTTGATCTTCATGCACTTTAATCTCTGCAAAGTAACCAAGAAAAATAAATGCTCTGATGTTGATTCCTGTATTTTTAGAAGTAAAATACTGAAATAATTGTAATTGATTTTGCTTTGTTCTATGGAGAGAAATGGTTTGTAATATTCAGATGGTTGAACTCTTCCTAGAATTCATGTATGTAAAGATTGCCATTTAGTTCTGTGAAAGTCAAGCCCAAAGAAGTAGTCCCCACTAGAGCAGACCCATTAAATCACTTGCATTTACACAAGTGTTGCTTCACCATAAAGTAGTTAATTTTATGGGACTATTCTGTGTTCAACAGCCAGTTGGATTTATATGACTGTGCACAGATTGGTAAAGAAAAGAAGCAATTCATCTGGTCTATAAAATCACTTCCCAAGACAGACACAGGAAGTATGAACAATGAGCAAATAATGCAAACCAGGTTTTGGAGTGCAAGACAAGGGTATATGGGTTTTAGAAAATTAATATACTGCTTAATAACCAGATGTTGTATTTATTGAAGTAAGCTGTGGCTTTTGACTCAAAATGTCCAGCACAGCTGAAATTTGATTGTGGCAATGTTTGGCAACTGGTTTATAGCTGCAAACAAAACCTCACATTCAAGGGGGAGGTGGGAGCTAGCCTGTTGAAACCTATAGGAGTTTACCATCTCTTGTGCTATCCTAAAGCCTGAGGAGGAGCAGAAATGGCTTCTGAAAGTCCAAAAGATGTGCACAGACTTCCAAACCACAGTGCAAGGTTGAACCAGTTTAGCCCCACACTAAGCAACGTTGAGCAAAGTGGCCAAGACTCTGCAGCAGCCCTGCACTTTGTACAGAGTGTGAACAGCAAAACTAGCTCCAAAGCGACACAGGCAAACACTGTTATCCCCCTTTCCCTTCACTTGGCAATGCAGGGGAAGGGGAAACAGATTATATTACATTTAGTCAGTAATCTAAAGTCTGTTCTATTCTATATCTGAAGGCTTTGGTTAGCAATTGTAATCAGTCACCCTCACAGATGTATCCATTTAAATTTTCTCTTAAAGCTGTTTTGATATGGACCATTATGTGCGGTATGGTTGTGCCAAATTATTTACTTCTTAAAACAAATCTTAAAACTGCTTTGTCACAATACTGGTGACTCTTGACTACGCAATGTTTTATTTGGCATTTTTGTTTATACCTTGGCTATTAATCATTAGAAATCTCACTTTAGAACCAGTCCTAGAATCCAGTGGGGCACAGCTTTTAGTTGTAATTTTTTTCATGTTTCTGTATGGAGACCACCAATACGTTCATATTATAAGGGAGACATTCAATACTTGCAACTCCTTCTATTCACAGGCTACTGGCTGGGCAAAGCTTTCCCTCTGATGCAAAACCTTCACAGATTGGCTCATAATCAGGAAGTTTCCAACCCGGATGCTGGAATTGCTGCATCCTGTCCCCTTTTAATACTTTTCAAACCTACACTAACTACACTGATGGATCTTTTGACCCTGCTAGCATTAAATAGCCTAGAGTGATTTTTGGATTATAGATACGTGGCTTGAAAACAAGACGGCAAGAATTTGCAGAACATACTAAACGAACTGTTTTAGTTTCTATGCAAACAGGAAGAATTGAGAGTGAACAGATGGACTGCATGTACCAGTCTCTATTTTGTTCGTGTTATGCTAAGATTTCCCAGTATCTTTTCTTAGAGCGATTTTGCACAAATACACAATATAGGTTGGAATTGGCATTGAAAATACTGGTTCAGGCCTGCATTGTGTCTGACGGGCACACCAAATGGGAGAATATCCTCAGTGCCCAGCCACACCAAAGTGGGTTTGATACTGCTGGGAAGCGTCTGATTTCTCCTAGCCCATGGGTTAAATCAGATCAGCCTGAATGCCTTTTGTAGCCGCCCAAAGGCTGATCTGCACTCACAGTGACCTAAATGGTCAGTGTAGATGGGGCCTTAGTCATCTTCTTGCAGTGCTGGAATAGATTTTTTTTTCAAAGCTATATAGGAGAAAGCTATGTTGTAATTCGAAGATGAGGTTCTGTATAATGCTGAATCAACACATTCTCCATATATATAATTGCCAACATCAATAATGTGTCAAATGATGTGCACTTAAGGAGGGAGTAGCTTAGATCATCAGCCTCATTTTTTATGTATTGTTGATCACACTTGAATCCCAGATAACGGAGTACCTTACTGATAGTTTAATCCTTCGATGTAAAGCTATAAAGGCTTGAATATTTTTGCAGGTCCAATCACAGCAACTACTTTTTTCCTCAACTTATTCTGGTTATTGTACTCTTTAAATGTGCATGATTATGTTTTTAAAAATTGCATGTGAAAGCTTAAAATAAACATCAGTGGAGCATTTGATCATATATTTCAGGTGATGGTATATTTTAGTTGGTGGTGGCAGTTTTAAAATATTTTCAGTAGACACAAAGGGAATTCTTTATGAATGTATCTAATTATTGATACAAATAGCTTCTATGTATTCAATCATCTCTTCTACCAAGTACTAACAATTTGATATAAGCCTTTGACATTATTTTGCAGAATATTATTTCATTGCACAAAGAATGATCTAATTTTAATTTTTCCCCTTGTTATTAAGAAAAAAATTGCTGAGTTTATTCGCTATTGCATATTAATCATGGAATAACTCCACTTAAACTAGAACAGCTGTGTCTGAGGGATTTGTTTGTTGAATCTAGGTTTAGCATAGAGTGACTTTCAAGTGATGCTGTTGCTCTTTTGGGTCCTCCTTTCTTCTGAATGTTGGGAAGGAAGCAGACGGATTCTATACTGAAGTTAACACAATCTGCCATATATGTTCTCATATGCCACAACATCCTCTTAAACTGTTATATGGATTTAATAATACCATTTCCTACTATTATTTTGATAAAGACAGTGCAGGACATCACAATTTCAGCAAGATATGTAAATTTGATTATTCCACAAGTTATAGTTCTGGATCTTTAATTTAATATTTTCTGTGAAACCTCAATTTTCAATTAGGTTTTCCATTGGATGTGGTTGAATTAGGACTTTCCTGTAGTAAGAAACTAGTTTCAAACTAAGGCCAAAACAAGAGGTGCTTCTGGATTGATTAGTTCCAGACTACAAATGACAGTTAAATGTGAGGTTACCTCTCTCACACACCCTTATTACTACACATTGAATCTAGGCTATCCTGTAGAAAGCAAGGCTTAAATCTTCCTCCATCACCATCTAATTTTCATTGTAATGAATATTAGCTTTAATAGAGGTGGTTTCTCTCATGTGAGCTTTTGTCTGCAAGCTGAAATTGTGCTATTTTAGCTGTTAATCAGAATTAAGCCAGCAGGAGAATAGTGCATTCTCAACTCTCTGAATACCTTGTAATGTTGAAAGAGAGAAGAAGTATACTTGCAGGAGAAAACTTAGTCTACTCCCAGACTTAAGTCTACTCCCACCTAAAGATTCAGGAATGATTAAGCAACATTCCTCCCTAGCTGTTAGTAATTCCTGCATTCTTGTTGTCTTTTTGAACACCCCTGCATTTCTTTTGTCTCATCATATACAAATCTGGAAATACCTTTAGCTTTTTCTTATCTTTATCAAATCAATTTCAAGTAACTATTTGGCAGTTAGTGTGTGTGTTTCAAATTAGCATGTGGCTATGTGTTGTTGAAGGCTTTCATGGCTGGAATCACTGGAGTGTTGTGTGGTTTCCGAACTGTATGGCCATGTTCTAGCAGCATTTTCAGCTGACATTTTGCCTGCATCTCTAGCTGGCATTTTCAGAGAATCCTCTGAAGATGCCAGCCACAGATGTAGATGGAATATCAAGAGAAAATACTGCTAGAACATGGCCATTCATCCTGGAAACCACTCAACACTCCAGTATGTGGTTAGTCTTGTCTGTTGTCATTTTGGGAAATATTAGGGACATTCTCTCCTTTTCATGCTTGCTATCCACGGCCATTAAAATGAAACGACTGTGAATTGAAACCTAAGGGTTGTCGACACCAGACCTTTCCCTGACATGGACCAGAAGATGAACCTGGGAAGTTTGACCCTTAGAGTAGATAGATCCAGTTGAGCCTCACATTAAGTAAAGTCATGGACGGCTTTTGTGTGTGGACAGCAGATTAGCTCCAAAGCAAATTCGTCTGTGGTCCTTGTGCATAGGAATCAGGTGATGGCCAGGAGGCCTCCAGATCGCTATGTCTGATTTGGGCCAGGGACAGAGTGTCTGGACAGCACTGTGTCATTTCAGACTAGCCCAGAGTACTTGTGCTACAGACTGGCGTCAAAATTTTGGAGTATAAAATAGCGTTTTCCCCTAATATATACTGCAATAGGAATGCAGTATATGTTATGAAATTGTAGTTTATTGCATAGTTTATTATGAACACATTTTACTGAAGTTTTTCTAGTGTTTTCCAGAAGATTATAATGGTCTTATTTAACATTTCATGGAGACAGAAATATACTACATGGTAATGATGTGGTGTAGTACTTGTGTGCGGGAGTTAGATGTTGTCTGGTTATTCATTTGGGGTGGCAATTTCTGATCATAGAACAAATGTAGCATTCTATGATTTTTTACTGTTCTCAAGTAAGTGAAAGATAGGGTGGATGCAGAAGAAAAATGCCTGCAGTAGATACGTTATATTTATGGAATAAATACATTAATCACAAAGTAAGCATTTTTTTGTTTTTGTCTCATTCTGACTTTACGCCTATACAGTTCTCCAGTATTTAATATGGAAAAGACTTTTATGTCCCATGTTTGTTAACTAAAATGATTATGGAGGAAACGGTACCCCAAAAAATAAGAAAGCTTCAAGGGATCAAATATGGCATGAAACGTATAATGATGGGACTTATGATTTGTCTATTTTAATTTCGAGAGTTGAAATTAGAGTTCAGGCAAAAAAAAAAAAAAAGCAAATTGTATAGCTACCAGAAAGAGATTAAATCCACTTAGTCCCAGCTACAGAAGACCCATTGAGTCAGTGGGAAATTATATAATTATTGATTTACTAAATTTCCATTGGTTTGATGGGTCTACATCAGCTTGGGCTAGGAATTGGGTGCAAATGTATGAGTTTTACCCACATGAAATGCTATGTTTTGGGGCCCTGGTTGCGCAGCAGGTTAAACTGATGAGCTGCTGAACTTGCTGACCGAAAGGTTGGTGGTTTGAATCAGGGGAGTGGAGTAAGCTCCTGCTGTTAGGCCCAGCTTCTGCCAACTTAGCAGTCCGAAAATGTGAGTAAATCAATAGGTACCGTCTTGGTGGGAAGGTAATGGCGCTCCATGAAGTCATGCTGGCCACATGACCTTGGAAGTGTCTATGGACAACACCGGCTCTTCAGAGATGTGCACCACCACCCAGAGTCGGACACAACTGGACTTAATGTCAGGGGAAACCTTTACCTTTACCTAATGCTATGTTTTAAGTCAACAGTTATATAAGTTCAATTGAGCCAATGGGTCTACCCGATAGGAATAGTTCATTTTAATATCAGGGCGGGGACTTTACAGCCCTACAGATGTGGTTGGATGACATTTGCCACACTCCTATCCAGCAAGACTAGCAGCCTGAAGTTATATTTCATTGATGTTTGCATGACAATATGATTCCTATTCCTGATTAAGGCCATGGTACTTATGGAGATAGGTTTCACCTTATTTCTTTTTTCTTGCTGTTGTCCCAAATGATCTAGAGAAAATAAGAATTGAGTATCTATCTCAATAGGTTGTTAGATATAGTAAGTCCCACTGAAGACACTAGGATTGGACTCTAAGAAACTTATAGGATTGGTTTGGGAGACCACTTTCCTAAGCATATACTTGGAGTTTCCAAGTTTCGAACAAGATAGCTTCTCTAGAGTTGTTCTTAAGTTGAATGTATATGTAAGTCGGAACAGGTACTTTTTAAAGTATGTGTGTGTGAGTGTGTATACACACACACACACACACACACTTTGAATAGTATAGGGAAGGGTTTGTTTTGCTGTCTGTGCCCCGATTCACCTCGCTTTCCATCCCTGTAATCACTGGGCTTCCGAAAAAAGTTGGCTTGTTGTAGAAAACAAGGATTAGAGAAAGTTTCAGTTGAGAGACCTTTTGCCTAAGGGTGGATTTCTTTCACTTCCTGTTGTCTCATCCCAGTTCTTAATTATAAGTTGTTTGTAAGTTGGATGTTTGTAACTTGGGAACTGCCTGTTTCTGGGAACCCACTTCCTTGACAATTAGCATATAACTTTTGATTAACATATATATAGTTTATTAGTTATGCAAGACAAACACATCTGGTTTATATGATTTTTTTAAAAAAAAATAACTTACAATCTTATGTATTGGAAATGAGGCATATTAGACTATTAGACTTGAGTTATTCTAATTCTTCTTTCTAAAAATATTATGTGTAATAAATGAAAAATTGATGTAATATATGCACAGTTTATTTTACTATAATTCTTTGACCCTTATGCTTGTTCTGAAACTATTGGTGCTTTTTGTACCTGACAAAACAGGTACTGAAATTGATATTAGAGAATCATCAGTTCAATCTAACATGGTAATCTGTTTTTACTGTATATCATAGTTGCTGCTGCGCATATCAAAACAAGGCCCTCCCTTGAGCAAGGAGTTTTTCCAGAGGATTTAAAAGAGGCGGTGGTCTCTCCCCTGCTGAAGAAACCAGATTTAGATCTTCGGTTCCCTCCAGTTACCGCCCAGTTTCGAATCTCTTGTTCCTGGGCAAGGTGATTGAGAGGGCAGCAGCGGAGCAGTTGCAGCAATTCCTAGATGACACAGCCGGACTAGATCCCTTCCAGTCCGGCTTCCGTGCGGGGCATGGGACAGAGACTGTGCTGGTCTCCATCACGGATCACCTTCGATGCCAGCTTGACCAGGGCGGGTCAGCGCTGCTTGTGTTATTGGATCTCACAGCAGCATTTGACACAGTCGACCACAATCTTTTGACCCACCACCTTGCTGTTGCTGGAGTCAGGGGGACAGCTTTAAACTGGCTGTCCTCCTTTCTTCACAACCGTGGACAGCGAGTGGAGAGGGGAGGCCTGGTCTCTGAGAGGTCCCCTCTATCTTGTGGGGTTCCTCAGGGGGCCATTCTCTCCCCTCTGTTATTTAACATCTATATGCGACCACTTGCTCAGCTGGTTCGAGGTTTTGGGCTTGAGTGTTATCAGTATGCCGATGACACTCAGCTGGTGCTGAAGATGGAAGGCCGACCGGACTCTGTACCCGATTGTTTCCATCAGTGCCTCGAGGCCGTTACTGGATGGCTGCGTGCCAGCAGGTTGAGGGTGAATCCAGCAAAGACGGAGATCCTATGGCTGGGTCGACCGGGCAGTGGGGACATCCAGCTGCCTACCCTGGATGGCGAGGCACTACGCCCGTCATCATTGGTAAAGAGTCTGGGAGTCCTTTTGGACCCTCTGCTGACGATGGAGGCCCAGGTCTCTGCTGTTAGCAGAACCGCCTTCTTTCATCTGCGGCAGGCTAGACGGCTGGCCCCCTACCTGTCCAGGGACGACCTAGCTATGGTGATCCAGGCCACGGTCATCTCAAGACTGGACTATTGTAACGCCCTCTACATTGGCCTTCCTCTGTCGGTGATCCGGAAGCTCAAGTTGGTACAAAATGCAGCTGCGCGGCTTCTTGCAGGAATTCCGATGAGATGCCACATAACCCCAATCTTACTACAGCTACATTGGTTACCAATTGAGCACCAGATCATTTTCAAAGTGATGGTACTCACCTTTAAGGCCTTGCATGGTCTGGGGCCGATGTATCTGAGGGACCGCCTCACCCCCTACCAACCCCAGAGATCCCTCCGTTCTGAGGACCAAGATCTATTGGAAGTCCCCAGTGTCAAGACCTTGCGTCTAACGGCAACCAGACGCAGAGCCTTCACAGCAGTGGCACCATCACTCTGGAATACTCTGACACCTGAAGTCCGTGCCTTGCGGGACTTACCAGCTTTCCGCAGGGCATGTAAGACATACCTGTTTTGACAGGCTTTTAATGTTTGATAGTGTTGTTTTTAAATTGTTTTAAATTGCTTTTAAATTTTGTTGTAAGCCGCTCCGAGCCCAGGGGAGTGGCGGCATATAAGTTCAAATAATAAATAAATAAATAAATAAATAAATAAAAAGACTGTAAGCACCATATTAATTTTAGATTTTCTTTTTTAAAAAATTGTTTATTAAACACTTTTTATGTTCTTTTCTCTCTCCTAACATTTTAACAGGTATCTGCACTTTAACCAGATTGAAACTTTGGAACCAGAATCATTTACCCATCTTCCCAAACTTGAAAGATTGTAAGTTAGTTTTTCCTCCCTTTTTTCCATTTCTTAATTCCAGATGGCAGTGCTTTTTGCTTATCAGGTTTGGAGCATTTGATTACATGGAAGCTGGCATTCCTCCTGGGGATTCCTTCTGACTGTAGTTCCAGCTGAGAAGAACAAAGGCGGCCGTGGAAGCAACAGAGTTCAAAGCAACAACTCTGGGCACAGTGCCACCATGCTGCTTAGTACGTCTTCTCATGGAACTACTTCTTTCAGTGCAAGACGTTGCCATCTGGATAAGCAGTTAATACTGTCATTCACACGCAATGATAAGTCAGAGTTTTAAAGTAGTTTGGCTTATTCCAGTGTTACATTTGTGAAAACAGCCCAGGTAGTATCCAGGAACAAAATGCTGCCTCTTGCAAGGCACTGCGGCTTATTCCCTTGACAAACCTGAATCTTGGTTTGCACATCTCAGCTTGTTTGGATATAGCACTAAGTTTTACTTCTTGGTTAGTTTCACCACTATCATTCATTGGAAGAGCCCAGCAGTCATGCATGGTCTATGCCAAGTAGTATGCATCTCGTTCATAATAAGACATAACATCCCACAGCTATCAATAGCTTTGTCATGATGTAGAAACCGAAGTCCTTTGCATACTTGCGCCACTATCATTCACTGGAAGAGCCTAGCAGTCATGCATTGTCTATGCCAAGTACTATGCATCTCGTTCATAATAAGACACAACATCCCACAGTTATCAATAGCTTTGGCATTATGTAGAAACCAAAGTCCTTTGCATACTTGCCTGGGGATAGACCCCACTGAATTTGCTGAGGCTTAATGTCCATAGTAGTGGAAACATAAGCCTTGATTTATGAAAATATGTTTAAAAGGAAAACATATCACATATGGGGGAGGAATTCAGACTCCTAATAATAAATATGTTTCAACAGGTTTTTGCACAACAACAGAATCTCTCACCTAACTCTTGGGACGTTTAGTCATTTGGAATCTATGAAGCGACTGTAAGTAAAATTATTTTCCCCTTCAAACATTTGGCAGCTTGTTTTATTATCTACATTGTTCATTGTATTGATCAGAGTTATACAGGTCACATCTTAATTAAACGTGAGATGGAATTTTCTTTTCATCTCACATTTCTTCATTTGTGGAGGTGGAAAATAAACTTTAGTTTTGTATTCTGGCTTGAAGACTAAAACATTCTAGTTTGCAGACAAAATAATCATAGCTCTTAACAATCTTATGTCGTACTGGATGCCTCATGTACAGGTTTTATCAATTTTATCATTATGCAGGGAGAGTTTATAAAGATCTAAATGGACTATGACTGCTATCATTATCTTCAGCTGGCTTGTAAGAAAGTAGTAATAACATTCAGTTTGAACTTAATTAATTAGTTATTTTGGAGCTAATTAAAGGTTATTTAGTCATTGATTAAACGAGTGAAAATGCCATAGATTTGCACTACTTACTTTCTTAGTCATTTGTATTTGAAAAGACAAATAACAATCTCTCAAGACTAATTAGATAAGAAAACTCAAGTGAGGTTTAGAGTTGATGGTAGAATTTTGATTTGCTTCTTGATGAGATAGTCTGCCTTATTCCACTTTTGTGGTATGATTTTTGATTGTACACATTCATCAAAATCACCAGTACTTTCAATATAATTTAACTTGGGCTGGTAAACACATTTTCATAGAATAATACACTTGGAAGAGACCACATGGGCCATCTAGTCCAACCCCCTGTCATGCAGGAAAAACACAATCAAAATATCCCAGACAGATGGCCATCCAGCTTCTGTTTAAAAGTTTCCAAGGAAGGAGCTTCCATTACACAGGGAGTTCCACTGTTAAACAGCTTGTACGGTCAGAAAGTTTTTCCTAATACTCAGATGGAATCTCATTTCATACAATTTAAACCCATTTCTCTGAGTCTTGGTTTCCAAGACTCCCTCTTCCTTATGACACCCTTTCACATATTTATCCATGACCATCATGTCTCCCCTCTACCTTCTCTTCTGCAGACTAAACATGCTCAGTTCACTAAGACGCTTCTCATAGGATGTGGTGTCCATACCTTTGATCATTTTAGTTTTCCTCCTCTGGACACCTTCCAGCTTGTCAATATCTCTTTTGAATTGTGGTGCCCAGAATTGGACACAGTATTCCTGGTGAAGTCTATTCAAAGCAGAATAGAGAAGTACCATGACTTCCATCAATCTATCTTTTTGATGCAGCCCAAAATCCCATTGACTTTTTAAGCTGCTCTATCACACTGTTGGCTCATGTTTAACTTGTTGCCCATGAAGACTCTAAGAACTTTCTCACATGGACTGTTGTCAAGCCAGGCATCACCCATCCTGTATCTTTGCATTTCATTTTTTTCTTCCTAAGTGTAGTATCTTACATTTGTCCTTGTTGAAATTCATTTTGTTATTTTTGATCCAGTTCTCTAATCCGTTAAGGTCATTTTGAATTCTGATTCTGTCCTCTGGAACTCCAGGAGCACATGGTCACTCCCACCACTTCCTCTCCATTGACCAGATCTTCAGTGTTAGGTTCAGATCCAGAATAGCAGATCCCCTTGTTGTCCATTCTACCTTCTGGACAATAAAATTGTCAGAAAGGCAAGTGAGGAATTTGTTGAAATTTGTACTCTTGGCAAAGTTTGTTTTCCAACAAATATCAGGGTAGTTGAAATCTCCCATTACTACTATATCTCTTCTTTCTGCATGTTTGGCCATCTGGTCAAGGAAGACTTCATCCAGTTCTTCCATCTGGCTTGGAGGTCTGTAGTAGACCCCCACAACTACATCTTTTTCAGTCCTTGTTCCCTTAATTCTTATCTAGGTGCTCTCAACCTGGTTTTCAGGACTGAAGTCTTGCATCTCTTCACGTTTGTCAATATTTTTGACATATTTCCATCTCCTGTCCTTTTTGGTCTATTTCTCTGAAATAGGCTACATTCCAATTTTATACTATAGCACTCTCCTTATTTCTTAAATGCTTTTTCATACAGAGTATAAAGCAAGGGTCCTCAAACTAAGGCCCGGGGGGCGGATACGGCCCTCTAAGGCCATTTACCCGGCTCTCACTCAGGGTCAACCTCAGTCTGAAATAACTTGAAAGCACAGAACAACAACAACAATCCTATCTCATCAGCCAAAAGCAGGCCCACACTTCCCATTGAAATGCTAAAAAGTTTATATTTGTTTACATTGTTCTTAATTTTAATTATTGTATTGCTTTAAAATGTTTTTGCACTTCAAATAAGATATGTGCAGTGTGCATAGAAATTTATTCATGTTTTTTCTCAGATTATAATCCGGCCCTCCAACTGTTTGAGGGACTGTGACGTTGCCCTTTGTTTAAAAAAAATGAGGACCCCTGGTATAAAGCCTCCTCTCCCTCCCCCTGAAGACCATATACCTACCCCAAAACAATTAAACAGTGCTTCCCAAATCTACATAATGAGCTTTTGGGGTGTTTGGTGAGTTGAGATAAGAGATTGTCACCTCCCAATCCCACTGATGGAAACGGTTCATTCAGGAGAGGTACCCAAATGGATTTAGACAAAATCCTACTTCATTAAATGCAGTATTCATGAATTCTTACATTTAGCATTTCTTACTTTTCAGGTTTCTGCCCTTGTGTTCTGAATAGGGTTATAGCCTCACAGATTACATGTGTCATGGAAACCTGAAATACTGTTTATGTTTCATAATCTAATGAATTGTTTGGTTAACGAAATCTTATTTCCTCCAGGCGTCTGGATTCAAATGCACTTCACTGTGACTGTGAAATACTGTGGCTGGCAGATCTGTTGAAAACATATGCAGAATCTGGTAATGCACAAGCTGCAGCAACTTGCGAATATCCAAGAAGGATCCAAGGAAGATCAGTAGCTACAATAACACCTGAAGAACTTAACTGTGGTGAGATCTCTTTAAAGATATAAATGTGCCTCCTGCCATCTTGACATTAGAAAGTTTATTTATAGTGTGTTACAGAACTTTTCATCTCTTTTTGACATCATATTGGAATTGACATTGATATTGTTAACACTTGTTCCACAAAAGATATTCAGTATTGTAAAGATGCAAAATATTTTCATGTTTTATATAGTATTATAGTATAATAAATATAATATTTTGATGAGAGGCAATGAACCATTAATTGTTTTCTTTTCCGTTTTCTATTGACCTCTGCAATTGTATCTTTCCATTATGAAAGCATTGCAGTTTATCGTGTTCAGAACAGGAACTTATTTCTATTTGTAGCAACAGAAATAAAATCAAACAAAAGCCAAGAAAAATCTCCTTTGAAGTCCAAGAAATAGTTGATGATTTTATGTATTTTAGAATTCCCTTTAATTTTCCTATAATAGTGAACATATTGTCTGAAGTTTGTATTTATTATGGGAAAGCCAATGAAAAAGATGAAAGATACTTTAAGCTGAACTTGCTCAAATTGTGCTCTGTCAAGCTAAACCAATAGCATATGGAGGTCCTCCAGTGTCTCAATTTTCTCCTGTTTTCCCTGCCTTCTCAGGATCACAAAAACATAGGGTCTGACATGCTTCTGGCAGGGCATTAGACATGGTTGATGGACTATTTCAACTATTTCAAAAAAAAAAAAACCTGAATGTTTGCTTTAAGGATTTTGAGTAAAATTCATTATTTCATTATTCTCTCTTTAGAGTTGTCATGGTTTTGAACAGAAATCTGAATAGATTCTTTGGAGGAAGGTAGAAAGTTTATGGTAATTCTGATCTTCTTGACCACACTGAACTGCATTGAACTGGATTATATGGCAGTGCAAATTTATACAATTCAGTTCAATGCCATTAAACTGCATTATGAAACTGCATTATATGGCAGTGTAGATGGGACTAATGTCTAGGGCTAATGAAAGTTGGGTTCATAGCTTTTTTGGAGGACCGCAGGTTTCCCATCCTTGCTGTGCAGTTTTTGATGGAGATAATTTGCAAATTGTTATGTATTCTTGGTACAATTGTTTTATAGTAGCTCTACATTTGAAATGATCCTGGTAAGGTGTTCATAAATTAATATTGTCATTTTTGATTACAACATCTGTATGAAATTTTATCTTACAGTGCATGCTAATTGGATGATGTACATTGTTATTTTCAAATAACAATTCTGTTAGGAGTTTTCTTAAAAATACACTTTATTGATGATACAGAGAGGCCAAGAATTACGTCAGAGCCTCAAGATGTAGATGTTACCTCAGGGAATACCGTTTACTTCACTTGCAGAGCTGAAGGCAATCCCAAACCTGAAATTATTTGGCTTCGAAACAAGTAAGAATTTTTTTTACAATGAAAAAATTACTTTGTATAGACTTGTAAAAAGAAAATTGATTTGAAGAAATGTGTTAGGATAAATGTCAGATTGTTTGTAGACTTTTTAGTAATTAGTGTGGATGTACACATATGCTTCAAAGCTTTTCTGTTACAAATTGTTTGTCCACAGTAATGAACTGAGCATGAAAGCAGATTCTCGTTTAAACTTACTCGATGATGGCACTCTCATGATTCAGAATACTCAAGAGACCGACCAAGGCATTTACCAATGCATGGCCAAAAATGTGGCAGGAGAAGTGAAAACCCAAGAAGTTACCCTGCGCTACTTTGGTTCACCAGGTGTGTGAATTGATTTCAGTCTCAAGTGTTTTGGACAATGTTTCCAGACCTCTTACCTAAAAGATAAGATCAATATTGTGGACTTTATCTCTCAAATCTGTTATTCCACCATTGTCATGTTATTTCTGATAGTGGCTTGTGCAATTTGACTGTAGGGTGATCCGTTTTTGGTATCCGTATGTCATTGGATACCCAAATCCATCTTTAGGAGCCTCCCGAAAATTGGCTAATGGAAAAATCTGTTTTCGGCTAGGTAGCCAAAAGATCTGGGAAGTGTGTGCTAGGACTAGTTTTCTTTCTTATGTTTGGACCTAGAACACTGTAACATGGCATAAAAACTTTAACCTTATAAACCTTATATCAAATAGTAAAACAAGAGTAGCTATTTTAAACATATTTCTTCTTTAACAGCTAGGCCAAGTTTTGTGATTCATCCACAAAATACTGAAGTCCTCGTTGGGGAAAGTGTGACCCTGGAGTGTAGTGCAACTGGCCATCCCCAGCCACGCATCACATGGACAAAAGGTGACAGGACACCATTGCCAAGTGACCCCCGCATCACAATAACTCCATCAGGAGGGCTTTACATCCAAAATGTGGCCCAGGAAGACGGTGGCGAGTATACCTGTTTTGCAACCAACAGCATAGACAGTATCCATGCAACTGCATTCATCATAGTGCAAGGTATTGTTCATTTAATTGTAAGATCATTGTTCTAAAGGAGCCTAAAAAGGTGTAAATCATGTAAAAGGTGGATCCAGAACATGCCTACAGTAGATGGAATGGCTTTCCAGGCTACAAAAGGCTTCACTCCTCAAAGGTGCCATCAGCAAATTTTCTGGGATTTCACCAGTTCCCCTGATTCTCCAGGGCTAACTCTATTTTAAATATATTTTAAACTGTTTTAATTAGAATCATAGAATCAAAGAGTTGGAAGAGACCTCATGGGCCATCCAGTCCAACCCCCTGCCAAGAAGCAGGAATATTGCATTCAAATCACCTCTGACAGATGGCCATCCAGCCTCTGTTTAAAAGCTTCCAAAGAATGTATTGTTTCTTAACAGAATGTATTCTTAACAGAATGTATTGTTTCTCTTTTAACCTTTGTACAGTACAACATACTGGCTCTGCTATAAATCACATATTCCCATAAAATACATGAAGAGAAGACAACAAGACCAGAAATTATAGTAATTTGGGAGACATAACCTTACAGACATGTTGGCCTGTTATTTATTTTCTAAAATTAATTTGGAGAAATTAAATTTTTCCAGGTGTTACCAAACTGTCATATCTTTCAGGCTGCCTTAGCAAAAATAAAAGTGAGAACACATCTGGTATCTGTTGATAGAACACAGATGAAATGAAATGAAAACTTACTTTTGAAGGGCAACTTTTCTTAAAGTTACTAAATTGTTAATATCAATTCAGCATCTTTGATTTAAAAATATTTGGGAAATGGTTGGAAAATGTGTTCCCCAAGTGCCAGGAAACCCTGATAAGGAGAATCCTGGACTGATGAGAATCTTTGCAGTTTTAGACTTATTCTGTACACAAAATTCACATATTTCTTCTGTGCAGTATTATTTACATACAAACAAATGCTGTTTCCTGTGAACAAAATTCTGTTTTCAGTGTAAATGTACTATGTATAAATTTTGTTCAGAACAAGTCTTGAACTGAGAATAGTTGCTAAAAAACCTCTGCAGTTTTCAGTCTTTCTCATAGTGGAAATAAATTCTTAAATTTCTTGTTCCTTCCCTTTGGAGTGAAATTAGCCACATGACCTTGGAGGTATCTATGGACAACACTGGCTCTTTGTCATAGAAATGGAGATGAGCACCACCCCCAGAGTTGGATTCAATTAGACTTAATGTCAAGGGGAAATCTTTACCTAAGATACACCCTACTTTGGATCTTGCTTTTATTTGTTTGAAGATCCATAGTAGCTGAAACATCATTGTACTATGCAGTGTGTGTAGAATAATGAGTATCCATAATCTGGTGCAGTAGTATTTTATAGTTCACTGAGTAATAAAAATAAATATCGTTCTGCTGAAGTATAATAATAATAGTAATAATAATGGTAATAATTTTATTTCTTATTCACCTCTCCTTGTGGCTCGAGGCAGGTTATAACATGGCTAAAAACATACAATCATCTAAAAACATTCTACAAAAATACATATATTAAAAACATATTTCTACAAAATAATATTAAAATACACAGAAGAAAGATTAAACATAAGACTCAAGTTTGAAATGTGTGTTTATAACTGGCCATAATTGCTTTATCGTGTTTATTGTCTTTTCACCTAGCTGTACCTCAATTTACTGTGACCCCTCAAGACAGAATAGTAATTGAAGGACAAACTGTCGACTTCCCTTGTGAGGCACAAGGATACCCACAGCCTGTCATTGCCTGGACTAAAGGAGGTAAGATTTTAGATTTTTTAAATTTTAGATTATTTTTAAAACATTAAAATATCTTATATACTTTTGAAACAATTTATCTAAAGTAGAAATTTTGGAGTGATTTCAGAGTATAGTTTCCGGACAGTTTTATTAATGCTTTTTATGTGTGTGGGTTGAAGGAAGAGTTTGAATTGGGCATAGAGGTACTCTTGTAGTTCATTCATGATTCTGGTTTTACAGCCTACAGCTGATGACTGTAACGACGGTTAAATCAGGCCAAATTTTCCTCATTACATCTGGCCACATTTTACTTTTGTCTTTAGCTTGATTTAGAGAATGTCTAAAATTTGAGTATAAGTAATTTGCAGTTTGTTTCCTTCTTTTCTAATAGTTTGTCACCACTTTCCAGAGGAGGAGAAGGTTTGTGCTGTGTGTTAGCAAAGCCTACAATGTTATTTTGTGCCCCTGTCCCCCTCTATAAACCAGACGAGAGTAATTTTACCTGCTTTTGGCTCTCTTTGAGTTGCCCATTTTTCCAAATCTGCGAGTGCCTATAATATGATTCCTCATGCTTGCTAGAAAACATTTAAGTAAACCGATTTCTAAATTTTCAACTTTGGGGATTGGGGTTGTAAACAATCAATTTCCTGAAAGGGATATGTGCCAACTCCAGGTCTATGGTAGATTCCTACTTTAGGATTAGTACGATACACATTTCTTAGCCTTTAGATAGACTGTACTTTGAGTTATACTTTAAATTTTTTGATTAATGGGACACAATTTATACAAGAAAGATAAGAAAAACATTACAACTTTAAGTATATAATGTAATGTCTTTATAGCATAATGGTCCATGTGCAAACCTTTTTTGCAAGTCTGTTCTTTAGTTATTCTGACCCTCAAACCACTTGTGGTTTTACATCATCATAATGTTGTTACACTACTAAATATAGAATCCATTACACATATTTGCAGATGCCCCCTTCCTCTCATTCATTGATTTCTTTCCCTTTTTTGTCTGCAGCAGCTGCAGAGGAAACAGGTGGAAGTACTTAGATACACACATGCAACTGTATGCATTTGTATTAAAAATCTTGCTGGATTACACTGATTAGTTTGAACCATATATTGTTGATTCCATTGGAATATATGTCTGAATAATATGTTCATGTTCACAGTGGCAGAGCTACAATTCAGTCTGTTTCATCAATGCTTATGTTGTTTCCTTATGTAACATGCACACATTAGCAAAATTAAAGCGCATACTGGAAAGCTAACATCTACGTAGCACTTAGTACTCAAGAGAAGTTCGTTATTTTTCATATGGAGCAATCTGAGATTTATAGCATTTCATGCCTCTCAGTTTGACTCAGAAGCATAATTTCCAATTAAGTCAAGGTCAATTCACCTTATACTGTGTACTGAACCCCATCCGTAACCTTCAACTATCAACTCTCTGCTCGCATTTCTCAAAGGGAAGGCTTTTGGCTTAACATTCTCCACCAAAAAAACACTAAAAATGATTAGGTATTAAAAGAAAACTGTCATCTATCTTTTTTCTTTAAGAATGAGATAGTCAGAACTAAGTTCTGTCGATGAGTTTTGTCCATGTGTTAAATAATGTTAATTATTTTATCTTTGGTGTGTTTAGGGAGCCAGCTCTCTGTAGATAGACGGCACTTAGTCTTGTCATCTGGAACCCTGAGGATTTCCAGAGTAGCTTTACATGACCAAGGCCAGTATGAATGCCAAGCGGTCAACATTGTAGGATCCCAGAGGATTGCTGTACATCTCAATGTACAACCTAGAGGTAAGTCCACAAAAATTAGTTTTAGTTCAAATATTTGATATCAGCATAAATGCTCCCCAATATCAATGTGTAATTTGGAAGAATATATTCACTTCATTTCTTTTGAGTTTTTGGGAAGCAATTCAGACTGCTGGTAGGACCTTTAAAGCTTGTGTCTATTCACATCTCCCTAAGTAGATCTGGCCAACATTTAAGATCTTTCTCTTTGTCCCACCAGTATAGACACATTTGGTGAGGACATGGGAGAGAGCATTCTCCATGGCTGTTCCCGAGCTCCACCCTTTATTCAGGCAGGCCTTTGGTTCATGTTACCGCACGGACTTCTAATTGAACTGTTCTTTTATCTTTTCTTCTTGTTATATGGCTTCCAGTCATTTCCAACTTATAGCAACCCTATGACAAACCTATCACAAAGTTTTCTTGACAAGATTTGCTCTGAGATCTAGGGGGTGTAACTTCCCCAAAGTCTCTTAGTGGGTCTCTGTTGCTCAGGAAGAATTCAAATCTTGGTCTCCAGAGTTGTAGTCTGACTCCTAAACCATCACATCATCTATATATATAAATCTGTTAGGTTGGTTCAACCGGACAGCAAAACTCCACAACCCCCCAACGAAACTGCACCAAAATTGCCATGCCCCAAGGACAACCCACTCGGTACAAACTAATCCACTCAGAATTGAAAACAACACAACAACACACAGATAAATCGCCAAAACAACTGAGCATGCGCACTGGAGCAAAGTCCCCAGCGCGCGCGCACACATGGCCGAACGGCCAACGCACCCTCCGCACATCCCTCCCTCCCTCGCCCAACACGAACACGTTGCCGCCCACAAACACACACACACGCATCGCAACTTTCCCCCACCCCTTCCGGCCCTGAAACACTCCTTCCCTCCTCCAACGCAGCTCCGGTAAGACACGCCCCCTCCCGGTAAAACACGCCCCTCCCTCCCCCGCAACACAACCAAACGCCGGTAACAAACCCCCCTGCCTTCCACACAAACACACACGCCGCTAACTCACCACCCCTCCCTTCCCTGCAACACACAAACACACACGCCGCTAACGCACACCCCCTCCCTTCCCCTTCTTACCTCCTCCCCCTCCTTCTTCCTCCCCTCCAAGCCCCGCCCTTTCCTGCCCTGTCCCGCCCCCTCAAAATGGCTGCCTTGCACGAAGCCTCTCTCGCCTAACCCGCGTTCCTGCCAGCCGGTGGGATCGCGATCTAGGCGAGTGATGTGCAGGCTAGGCCCTGCACGAAGCCTCCCTCGCCTAGATCGCGATCCCACCGGCTGGCAGGAACGCGGGTTAGGCGAGAGAGGCTTCGTGCGGGGCCTAGTGCACGAAGCCTCTCTCGCCTAACCCGCGCCCCTGCCACCCGGCGGGAGCGCGATCTAGGCAAGAGAGGCTTCGTGCAAGGCTAGGCCCTGAACGAAGCCTCTCTTGCCTAAGCCGCGCCCCTGCCGCCCGCTTCCTTCTTGCCTTTTTGGACGACTCCGGCCAGAGGGAGGGACGACGGAAGAGCAGCAAAAGAGGCGAGTGCTGGGAAGGGAAGGGAAGGGAAGGGAAGGGGCGGGGGGGGGGGGAGAGGAAGGGGAGGCTCCACAACACAACACAACGTCTCACAACAGAAGGAGTGACCATCACTCAAACAATTATGATTTTGTCATTTGCGAGATGTAGTTCCTGGGATTTATAGTTCACCTACAATCAAAGAGCATTCTGGACTCCACCAATGATGGAATTGAACCAAACTTGGCACACAGAACTCCCATGACCAACAGAAAACACTGGAAAGGCTTGGAGGGCATTGACCTTGAGTTTGGGAGTTGTAGTTCACCTACATCCAGACAGCACTGTGGACTCAAACAATGATGGATCCGGACCAAACTTAGCATAAGCATTCAATACGCCCAAATATGAACACAGATGAAGTTTGGGGAAAATAGACCTTGACATTTGGGAGTTGTAGTCACTGGGATTCACAGTTCACCAACACTCAAAGAGCATCTTGAACCCCACCAATGACAGAATTGGGGCAAACATGCCACACTGAACCCCTATGACCAACAGAAAATACTCAAGTTTACACACAAGCATAAAGAAGGGGAGGAAGGAGGGATGCCAGAGAGAGAAAGAGAGAGAAAGAGGGGAAAGGAAGGAGTGTGAGAGAGAGAAAGAAGGAAAGAGAGAGAGAAAGAGGGGAAAGGAAGGAGTGTGAGAGAGAGAAAGAGGGAAAGAGAGCGAGGGAAGGAAGGAAGAGAGGCCAGGCAGAGACTTCTAAACTCTTACTAAAGGCCACAGCAACGCGTGGCAGGGCACAGCTAGTAATATATAAATAAATGAATAAATAAATATATGTGATTTTATTTTTAAAAGCAGCATTAACCTAACATTGTGTGCTATATTGTTATTAATGGTTAGGATATTCTTAGAGAAAATAGTAATTTTTGGAGTGTTTGTATGTGTGTGTGTGTGTGTATATATTCATTCCTGTGCATGTCTACTCTGATGTAATTTGTGTTGGGCCTGGAGGTACTGGCTTCTAAATACATTTTTAAGATCCTCAATAAACATAAGTGTTTGTGTGTTTTATCCACTTGTTTTTGCTTCTCTGCAACTTTCTTTTAGTGACTCCTGTCTTTGCTAGTGTTCCACGTGATATGACAGTTGATGTTGGAACAAATGTACAGATTCCATGTAGTTCTCAAGGAGAGCCCGAGCCTGTAATAACATGGAATAAGGTAATATGTTGTTTTTTATTGATTTATAATAACTGTTTTGCCAGCTCCAGGTATTGTGCAATCTTTACATTGCAGTTAGTGTTTAAAATACGATCTTTGCTTCTGTCTGAAATGATATATTGGAAATACTATATTCATCAAATATGCCCTGGGGAGGAGTGGGTGGGGTTACTTCCAAAATTCGAAACTCCGTATATGTGAATTCACAGAGGACCACTTGAAGAGACATGGTTACAGGTAAGCAGCCTGTCCATATGGAATCCTGACTAATGGAAAAGCTGCTAGTCAGGATTCCATGTGGACAGGCTGCTTACCTCTATCCATATCTCTTCAAGTGGTCCTCTGTGCTAGTAAGTGAGGATGGCTGGGTATCAATAGTGGATGAGCAAAGGAGTATGGCCCAGTTTCCAGCACATGAGATTGACACTATGGCACTTTAGTTGTGAGTTGATGGCAGCTAGTTTTAACTACAGATGGTCTGCATTTTTAAAATTGTATTATCTTATTTTTATATGTGTTGATAGTGGTTTTTTAAACAATTTTTATGTGATATTGTTTTATACTCGTGTACCGTTTATGTTATGCTGCACCTTGGAGTGCCTTGTAAGCCACCCCGATTCCCTTTTGGGAGATGGTGGTGGGATATAAATAAAGATGATGATGATGATGATAATTATTATTATTATACATGTTCTCTGCTTTCAAACTTCATTTTCCAGCTCCACCTTGCAAGAAGAGGCAGCTAGGTTGAAACTGAAGTGTAACCATGCAAGTAGTTTGCAGTTTGATGGGCTTTTTCTTAGCCAGTCATGCAGTTCACTTCATAAATCAATGTGACTTTCAGCAACTAGAATCCAAATTAATTTTCTTGGCTGGCTCTTGACCAAGGCCCTATCTACACTGACTGTGAGGTTCAAAGTTAGTTTCTAATTGCAGCAACTAGACAACAAACTACCACAAAAGCATATGAAAGGGCTTCTTATGCATCAGTTCTCTGGACCTCAAGCGCACATCTTCATTCACACTATAATGCAGCAGGCTTGGGAGGAACTGGTTTCACTGAATGGGTGATTCGATTGCCATGCCTAGAACTGGTTGAAGGCCAGGACAGTGATTACATTGAACACAGAACATGGCCTCAAACCATTATGCAGGTTTTCCTTCCATTTCCTGCAGAGATGTGCAACAGTGCACCAGAGACTTTAGGGATTTTTTAAAAAGGAAAGTGGCAACAGCAAAGGTAATTAATTACCTTTCCCAATGGGTCAGTTAGCCCCCTGCTGACCAGCTATGCCCTTGATACTTTCCCTGCTCTGGATTCTTTACTGTGCTTCAGCGAGGCGAGTATCTACAATGAACTCCACATTTTATGGATCTGATTTTCCCCTGGATCTTGGACGCACTGGGATCTGCTGCAGTGCATTTATGGCTTTCCTGCAACTTTTTAAATGGCATTGTATGTGAGCTCCAGTGCAGTTTCAAGCTGTCTTGAAGCAGCATTATAGTGTCAGTGTAGATGGGGCCATATAGAGCTTGCCCTATTGTTTTCAACTCTTGCTTTTGAAATTGTCTTGGAAAACAGATGATGTTCAGTACATGATATGTGTTTGATGGGCTGTATTCAGCTTGCTGGGTTGATCGTCTCTGGGCTGGAGTCTTCTTCAAGTGTCCCCTGGTGTTGTGTTCTTTGTTTTCAAATAGTTTTAATGAGAAACTGAATGTTCTGAAATTTGTACTTCCACAAATTAAAAAACGAAGGATTTAACATAATCTAAAGTACTACCAAATTATCAAATTATTTGGCATTCTGATTTGCTGCAGGATGGTGTTCAGGTCACAGAGAGTGGGAAATTTCATATTAGCCCAGAAGGATATCTTACTATTCGTGATGTTGGGTCAGCAGATCAAGGTCGTTATGAATGTGTTGCAAGGAACACCATTGGATACTCTTCAGTTAGCATGGTATTGAGTGTGAATGGTAAGATTTATGCTTTATGGTGAACAGATGGAGATTAATTACATGGCAGAGGGTTGGACTGGGTGGCCCTTGTGGTCTCTTCCAACTGTATGATTCTATGAATTCTTTTAAAGATAGAATGTTTCTTAATTCTGTAAAATCCCCACTATGTCCTATGTGTTTTTTTGGATTCAGGAGCACCATTCTGTTTAGTGACTCTTATCAGTAGGATGGGGCAACATGTTTCCTGATTTTGACCTTGAAATAGGGAACAAATTTGCAAATGCACCTATCCTTAGTGCAGTTGCTTTGGGGTGAATCCCAGCAAGCACAGTGTGGCTTTCTTCTTAGTAAACAGGCAACCCATCAGGTGTTCAGATCCTTCATTATTTCATTACTGTATGCTTCAAGCCCCAAATTTTTGTTACCAAGCATATGGGTTTATCAATATTACCGTCATCCCATTTCCAGAATCTAACTATATTTAGTATTTTTCTATAAAGACAATTTTGGTAAAGTTTATTTTAGTTGGGAATGGGACTGGGGCGAGGGAAAAAACCGATAGACTGGGCTCTAGTGATATTATGGAGAAGATGGCGAAAGGACACACTATTTGGTTAAAGGATGGAATCAATGTGAGGTCCAGGGTATTTAGTGTAAGGATGATTATATTCCATTATCTATTTTTTTCTTGATTCTAACATCTATGTAAATTCACTGGAAGACTAGTTTGGGAATAAATAATAGATAGAGAGAGGTCTTATTCCAGATGTTATAAAACAAGACTATTTCCATGTAAGCAGACAGTTGTCCCCTGTCAAATACCTATCTTTTATTGGTTATTCTATCTTCCATGGCTACTGTGCTTGGTCAGTCTGATGATGATTTGGAGCACTTAAGGGAAGGATATTTACTCCCCCCCCCCCTTCCCAGGCTTGTCTTAACCACTTCGTACTTCTAAAATCTTGGGGTTGCTTACCTTTTTCAACCCTCTTATTTTGATTACAGTCCATTGGGATTCACCACTAAAGTTCAGAGTTGTCAGAACAGCATGGATTATATTCAGAGTTGTGTTAGTGGATGTCCACTCATACAGTGGATCATTCTTACCTCTCGCCTTTGTCCCCTTTAATGCAGCCAGATCGCCCTCACATCAGTGCCCTCAAAATCTTCACCAAGCATCACACAACCCTCTGGAGCATATTTGAGTAGTCACTGGATGACTTCAGAGGAGAAAAGAATATGTTAAATGTATTCTTGGAAGTATGAATCTATTTACATGAGTCTGGATTATGTTGTATTTCAATCTTTTGGTTTTTATAAGAAAATGTGTCTTTTAAAACTGGTAGCCTTACCATCTAAAGTGTTAATCACTTATGATTAACCTCTAATTCAGTGGTCCTCAACCTGTGGATCCCCAGATGTTTTGGCCTTCAACTCCCAGAAATCCTGACAGCTGGTAAACTAGCTGGGATTTCTGGAAGTTGTAGGCCAAAACACCCACAGGTTGAGAACCACTGATCTAATTCATCTCATAGGATTGGGATGAAAATGTAAAATTGTTTAAGAGATGCCACTGCAAAATAGATGTTCATTTCAAAGCAGTTTTAATATTGTTACAATATTCCCAAGAGATCACTAAATTTAGTTTTTAAAAAGGAAATTATTGGGAATATGTGTATTTTAAATTTCAAAATGGTACGAAAAGTGTCCAGACTACAACCTTTCTTTTCTCTCTCTCTCTCTCTAGTTCCTGATGTTAGTCGAAATGGAGATCCATATGTAGCAAGCTCAATTGTTGAAGCAATCGCTACTGTAGACAGAGCAATAAACTCAACACGTACACATTTGTTCGACAGGTATAGGATTTGCTTTCAGCATGACAATATATTTGGTTTTTCCTTGTACCATTTGTAACTTTAGTTTGAGCAAAGGGGCAGATTATCTTAAGAGAAATCAGATATATTTACTCTTGTAACCTGAATGTTTAGAAAAAATCTTTTTTTTCAGTGTATAGAAATGTATTTCGTTCTATTTGTATGTGATCTATAGCCCAGAATGGGACCAAGGCAGAAACAGTCAATTTAAAAAAAATCACAATATTTTTTTCTTTCAAAAGTAAAGTGGGAGAACAATAAAATAACAGGAAAGTAGGAAAACCTATATAGAGAAAGAAAGATGGAGAAATAAAAAAGGAAAAAGAAAAAAAGTATTAAAATTTTAAAAAATGATTAAAAAAAAAACAGGAGAAATAAAAACTGGTGACTTCCATCTAGTCCTTTGCAGCTTTGCCTCTATCTTCACTTATATAATTACCAATCATACTGGGCCTTCATAACATTTCAATAAAACAAATCGGCTCATCATGTTTCTCCCCTACGTACTAATGTTTTTAATAGATCTGATTAGCTTCTCACTTTCTGCATGGTTTCAGAAAATGAGAAAGATCAAAGACATGGACAAAACTCGGGGAATCTGATTAATTATACAGATTGGTCTAAGATAAAGGAATATGAATGTTTAGAAGAAATCTGTTCCCCCTTATTTCGCAAATAGTCCAATGTCAATGCATCCAGATGCTTGCTTATTTCTTTATTTTTTTGCTTATTGCTTGCAATTTGGAATAAAGTAATTGAGGTATGTATTTATTAATTACCTACAGATCTAATGTAATATCTGGAGCCTTTATGTACACAGTCTTAATATCTGTAGGTGATATCAGTAATTTCACTAGTCTGTAAATTAATAGTGTTAGGATTAGGGCTATTTCTGTTTTACTTGATGTTTATGTTTTATTTTTATGTGTTTTTCCTGTTTTATCTCTTAGTCGCCCTCGTTCTCCAAATGATTTGCTAGCCTTGTTTCGATACCCAAGAGATCCTTACACTATTGAGCAAGCAAGAGCTGGAGAGATATTTGAAAGGACATTACAGCTAATTCAAGAACATGTGCAAGATGGTTTAATGGTTGACCTAAACGGAACAAGTCAGTGTCATTTCTTTCTAAGTGTTCTAAGTTCTGGTGACCTTCCATATACACAGATTCTGCAACCATGGATTCAACCATCCAGCTGTAATATATTTTTAAACATTCAAAAGAGCAACTATATATTTAATCTGATGTGGCAGTGATGACATACTAAATTGTGTTTCTTATATAAAATGGTGAAATCACTTTTGTGAATTTATTTGGACTATTTTCAAACAATTGAGGTTGAATCTGTGGATGCAGAATCCATGGATATAGAGGCTGACAGTCCTATTTTGGCGGGCTTGGTGTTATATGTCTGGACTTCTGAGAAGAACAAAGAATCACTTTGGTTAATCTTTCAGGTGACATCAACATAGTAAGCTGTTATAATACATAGGTGGTTCTGGCCTTCTGATCTAGCCCTTTGACTCATTCTGAAAGCAAAGTGCAATATGTAGGCAAAATGTGTTAACATTGTGATAGCTGATTCTCAATTTCACAGTTGCAGTATCTAAGACTTCATATTTCTTTCCCTGTAATGTTGACTGCTGCTTGATGATTAATGCAGTTGCATCTCTACACCCCTTAAAGTTGGGCTACAATGATCTTTTTGACAACAATTACTAAGTGCCTTATGAAATAACCATACTTTCAGTCTGAGTATATTAATGTAACTATTTTTTAAATTTATAAACCAGTTGTTTAGTAACTACCCCAAGCTTTTGTTTTTGACAGTTACCTGTGCTTGAGACATGTTGCAAAGGGTTTTCGAAGCTACACTAAAGTTTTAGGAAGGCAGATCAGGGGATCTGGCAGATGACCAATTTGTAGAGTCAGATAGATCATGTGAAAAGAAATACTTATGCCTAGGATGGTTCTTTTGTTTTGAATTTCTGTGGATTTTATTAAAGCCTGATAAAAACTTCAAACTTGGATATACGTTAAATAAGCAAGGTTTTAGGCTGTCTCCTTTATAGATCTGGAACATTATCAGATTATTTTAGCAAGAGTTCCCCCATGTAACCACAGCAGAACAAATAATTTGTCTTCAGTCATTTGTCAAATATTTGCAATCCATAACCAAAACCTGACTTTAACAGTTTAAAATACTTTGTGTTGTGGTTGCATTGTACTTGGCTTCAATCTTAGGGGTAAATATGAACTCACTTAAAAACTCTTTGATCCCATTCTTGTTTCTTTCACATATCTCTACTCATCCCAACTTTACTTTTTTCTGACTGGTCTTTCTTTTTCTCTTCATTCTGCTATCCTTTCCTTTATTAATCCCTTCCCCCTCTTACTAAGGATCATATCTGCCTCCCTCTCCCCAAAGGGTTTGGAGCACTATAGAGGAAAGTGATATGCTGAGCTGCCTAAAGACTTCATAGAAAAATTAATCCCTCAGGACTTCTTCTAACATCAACTTTTTTGGATAAAGAAAGACTGGCAGAGTAGTTTGAGATACTTCAACAGTTTACAGACTGGTTGTAATTAAAATTAATTAATGTTTTAAAACAAAATAACTTCAAGGTGCATGTAGGGCTTTTGAACATCCGCACCATGTTTTATTATTATAGTTGTAATAAAATAAATATTTTGATAGTTGTCTATTCTTGTGGTAGATTCATCCTGGAATAGAAGTCCTAGCCTTAAGTGTGAAGAATGAAAGATTGGGCTCTTGCCAGACTAGGACAGCCTTCTCTAGGTCCTCTGGTGCAAATCTGTCAAGAGTATAGGATTTGGGTTGTTGCAGGTTTTTTCAGGCTATATGGCCATGTTCTAGAGGCATTTTCTCCTGACGTTTCGCCTGCATCTATGGCAAGCATCCTCAGAGGTAGTGAGGTTCTCACTACCTCTGAGGATGCTTGCCATAGATCCGTGATGGTGAACCTATGACACGTGTGTCAGCACTGACACGCATGGCTATTTTTGATGACACACAGCCACATGCGGCCGCATACAGAGAAGTACACCTTATAAGAGCCAATCTAATTCCATCCTTAAATTTGTAAAAGGCTCCAAATGTAACATCTCTACGTTTGAGCATTGTTAACTCCATAACTCAGCATGGAATATACATTTTTCTTATTTAAACTATAAATATTGCAAAATTATGGGTTTTTTTTTCTCGAAGTTGACACCCCACCCAAGTTATGCTCAGGTTTTTGGCAATTTTTGACACACTAAGCTCAAAAGGTTGCCCATCACTGCCATAGATGCAAACGAAACGTCAGGAGAAAATACCTCTAGAACATGGCCATATAGCCCGAAAAAGGCTACAACAATCCAGTGATTCTGGCTATGGAAGCCTTCGACAATAGATAGGATTTGATATTAACCATGGTTTGATGTATCAATTGTGTGTGTGGGTGAATCCCTCAAGGATATGAGGGTTGTACTGTATTTGATTGAGTTTATTGAGTTAAATAACTTACTTGTTTAACCATATTTGAACCAGTGAATTTATTAAATAGAGTATTATCATTTGGGATAGCAAAAGGTTGGTTTGTAATAGCTTCTAAATACAATTTTCAGAGGAAATATTTACTTTTTTCATTCCCCTTCCCTATCATAATATCACATCAAAGCCAAAAAGAGTCTCAAAGCATTAAAAAAATCCACTCTTAACACTCAGTACACCAGATTAAAAGTGGCCATGAATCAATGCATTTATCTACATCTTTATAAATTGACTGAAGCATCATTTGAGTTTTTATTCTCAGGCTGTAAAAACATTTAATTTTTTGTCTCTCTCTCTCTAATCTGTTTCAGGCTATCACTATAATGATCTTGTATCTCCACAGTACTTGAATCTGATAGCTAACCTCTCAGGCTGCACTGCCCATAGGCGTGTGAATAACTGTTCAGATATGTGCTATCACCAGAAATACAGAACACACGATGGTACCTGCAACAATCTGCAGCATCCAATGTGGGGAGCCTCTCTCACAGCCTTTGAACGTTTGTTGAAGTCGGTCTATGAAAATGGATTTAATCTACCAAGGGGTGTCAGAGCTAACCGGCGATACAATGGATACGCCCTTCCAATGCCACGCTTAGTTTCAACTACTCTGATAGGCACTGAAACCATAACCCCTGATGACCAGTTTAGTCATATGCTTATGCAGTGGGGACAGTTTCTGGATCACGACCTTGACTCCACTGTTGTTGCCCTAAGTGAAGCCAGGTTTTCTGATGGTCAGCATTGCAGCTCTGTTTGCACCAATGATCCCCCATGTTTCTCCATCATGATCCCACCTAATGACCCTCGAGTCAGAAATGGGGCCCGGTGCATGTTTTTTGTGCGTTCAAGCCCAGTCTGTGGAAGTGGTATGACATCCCTTCTAATGAATTCTGTTTATCCCAGAGAACAGATCAACCAGTTGACTTCCTATATTGATGCATCTAATGTTTATGGCAGTTCAGAACATGAAGCGCAGGAAATCAGAGACCTAGCAAGCCACAGGGGCCTCCTGAGACAGGGCATTGTACAGCGATCTGGGAAGCCTCTTCTTCCATTTGCTACTGGCCCTCCAACAGAATGTATGAGGGATGAGAATGAAAGCCCCATTCCTTGCTTCTTAGCAGGGGACCATCGTGCCAATGAACAACTGGGGCTCACCAGCATGCATACACTGTGGTTTAGAGAACACAACAGAATCGCCACAGAGTTGCTAAAACTCAATCCACACTGGGACGGTGATACAATATATCATGAAACACGCAAAATTGTCGGTGCAGAAATGCAGCACATAACGTACAGCCATTGGCTGCCTAAAATCTTGGGCGAGGTAGGCATGAAGATGCTTGGTGACTATAAAGGATATGACCCCAATATTAATTCTGGCATAACTAATGAGTTTGCAACTGCCGCTTTTCGGTTTGGTCATACCTTGATCAATCCCATATTGTATAGGCTGGATGAAAACTTTGAACCCATTCCACAAGGCCATATACCTCTTCATAAAGCGTTCTTCTCTCCATTTCGGATTGTAAACGAAGGAGGAATTGATCCACTTCTTAGAGGGTTGTTTGGTGTTGCTGGTAAGATGCGTGTGCCATCTCAATTGCTGAATACAGAATTGACAGAGAGACTTTTCTCCATGGCACGAGCAGTAGCTTTGGACCTGGCAGCAATGAACATTCAAAGAGGAAGAGATCATGGAATCCCACCTTACCATGATTTTAGAGTTTATTGTAATCTTTCTTCAGCACATACATTTGATGACTTGAAAAATGAAATTAAGAATCCAGAAATAAGAGAGAAATTGAGAAGGTGAGCTCTAGATAATTCTGATTTTGTTGTTGTGGCTATTGTCATATTGCTGATAGGTTTTCAAAAGAAAGAGCAACATCTTAATTCAGAGCCCCACATGCCTTTCTAAGATTTTCATAGAATCATAAAAGAGTTGAAAGACATGGGCCATCTACTCCAGTCCCCTGCCATGCAGGAAAAGCACAATCAAAATACCTGTGGCAGATTTCCATCTAGCCTCTGTTTAAAATCTTCCAAGGAACAAGCTTCCACCACACTCTGAGCCAGGGAGTTCCACTGCTGAACAGTTCTTGTAATCACGAAGTTCTTCCTAATGTTCAGGTGGAATCTCCTTTCTGTAATTTGAGCCTATTGCTCCGAGTCCTAGTTTCCAGAGCAGCAGAAAACAAGTCTGCTCCTTCTTCCTTATGACATCCTTTCACATATTTATACATGGCTATCATGTCTCCTCTGAACCTTCTGTTCTCCAGGCTAAACATACCCAGTTCTTTAAGATGTTCCTGATAGGACATGGTGTCCAGACCTTTGATCATTTTAGTTGCCCTTCTCTGAATACCTTCCAGCTTGTCAATATCTCTTTTAAATTGTGGTGCTCAGAATTGGATACAGTATTCCAGGTGAGGTCTAACCAAAGCTGAATAGAGAGGAACCATGACTTCCCTCAATCTAGACACTATACTCCTTTTGATGCAGCCAGAAGTCCTGTTGGCTTTTTAGCTGCTGCATCACACTGTTGGCTCATGTTCAACTCCAATATCTTTTTCACGTGTACTGTGATCTGGTCAGGTGTCACCCATCCTGTATCTTTGCATTTCATTTTGTTCTGCCTAAGTGTAGTATTTTACATTTGTTGAAATTTATTTTGTTAGTTTTGGCCATCTTGCTAATATGTTAAGGTCATTTTGAATTTTCCCATTCCTAATAGCAGAGGAACCAAACTCTGTGTTTCTTTTAGAATACTTGTAAAGGAAATACATGTTTATGAGTTAGACAAATAAAGGGTGACATTCATGTATATGATGTTATACATGTGGATGGTCATTCTGTGGTTTCTGAGGAGTGGAGCTTTACTATCTTCAAAAATATCTGGATTCCATCATTTCTGCCCAGAAATTTGTTATTTGGAGCCTGGAGAAGGAAGCCTCCTGCAAATATTCCCAACCTTTCTGTAGCAAGAGCTTGAAAATGAAATTATTTGAAAAAAATTATATCTCTATTAATTTTAACAATAATTGGAGGGCATAACATTCCTTTTACAAAAGAATTAAACAATCAATAGTGCTATTAGTGCACATTGCATCTACTTTGAGAACATTGCTAGCACTGTTAAAATGAAGTTCTACATACAAACACCGAATTTCACTGCATAATAGTCTCACTTTTCCCTTTCAAAAAGGGGGGCGATTATGTGGTGAAGTACGGAACACCTCTTGAGCAAGGCCTGAGGGGGTGAGCATTCAACCTGGACACTTCTCTCGATTTCTCTCAGCTTCGATTAGCTGCCAGCAGCAAAGAAAGCTTCCTATCTCTTCCTGGCAGGCATGTGGGAGGGGTGGGGGGAAGAGAGCAATAAAAGAGGGTGAATGTTATGCAATGAAATACGGTACCTGAAGGCATGGGAACAATCATTTTAAAAAATTGAAGAACTGAGCCAAAATCCTATTGGACTCAACACAAAGTTAATCCTATTGCTTCATTGGATCTACTTTAATCAGGACTGACAATGATATCCAATTGATGTGCAAATTGATGTCTTATTCACCTGTATGTAAACTTTCAGCAGTTGCTCTTAAACAGAATTCATTATTGAATTCATTTATTTTCACTAATCCACATAATTTGTCTTCCTTCTTATAGATTATATGGTTCGCCACTAAACATAGATTTATTTCCTGCTCTTATGGTAGAAGATTTAGTTCCGGGTAGCAGATTGGGACCAACACTGATGTGTCTGTTGAGCACACAGTTTAGACGTCTTCGAAATGGAGACAGGTAGGTTTTGTGCAAAATGAGTAACCACTTATAGTAATTCTATGACTTCCCTTTAATTAGACAGTTTAGAATTTCCAGCTTCTGGTTTTAACAACAGTGAAGACACTCCCTGTTCTGATAAGCCCAAAAAAGCCAATGAAGTGCAGAAAGCATGGGGTAGGAAGATGAGATATGGATACTTTCTAGAACAGCCTTGAATGGTTCATTTATTACAGACTGGTGCATGGGGTCTTCTAGGTGATTAGCATCAATCAGCTTTTTATGTGATTCATAGCAACAATTTGTATCTGGTTCTGGTTGATGGGATTAGAGACTTCTTAAATAAACAAGTAGATCCCAATAGTCTGCCTCACTTTGTGTAGAATTACTTGGTTGGTTTTTTTTTTCTCGGTGAGTTTTATTTCTTGTCCTTTCTTTCCCATTTTCCTTGTGTTTTCCTGTGGAAACAACACTTCCTGCTTCATTTTATGCAAGCATATATACACCATCAGCTACTTAAGCACTCTAATGTCCCAGCAATCTAGAAATCTCGAGGTTATCCAGGCTGTTTGAGTTCATAGATGTTCCTGGAGAGAACATATTAATCAAAACCACAAATAATCATATTTGCAAAAGTTAAACCCACACATATGGAGGGCTGACTATATTAATGTACAGGCAGACTCTGGCTTACAGACATCCAACTTACAAATAACTCCTAGTTAATAATTGGGTTGAGATAAAAGGAAGTAAGAGAAATCTGTTCAAAGGGGAAATCCACTCCTGAAAGAGTTACTATGGAAAAAATGGAGAATCTTTGCTTTCACAACAAGCCAATTTTGCCAAAATTCAATTCTTACAGGAATAGACAGTGAAGTGACATTTTCTGAACAGAGGCATAGACAGCAAAACTACCACCGCAGGAGTGTTAATCTTTCCCTATGCTATCTAAAGCTTGTACACACACACAAAGCACACACACATACACTGCTGAAGTTACACTTAAAATGTACCTGTTCAAACTTGCATAGACATTCACCTTAAAACATTGGTTCTCAACCTATGGGTCCCCAGATGTTTTGGCCTACAACTCCCAGAAATCCCCACCAGTTTACCAGCTCTTAGGATTTCTGAGAGTTGAAGACCAAAACGTCTGGAGACCCACAGGTTGAGAACCACTTCCTGAAGAACACACCCACAGAACCTATCTTGTTCATAATTTGGGGATTGCCTATACAAAAAATCCATATGGCTTGCAGGGATTGATTTTTGTCTAAGGATGTATTCTTCATGTGAATTACAGGTTGTGGCATGAGAATCCTGGTGTGTTTACTCCGTCTCAGTTGACTCAGATCAAGCAGGCATCCCTTGCCAGAATTCTGTGTGACAATGGAGACAATATAACCAGAGTCCAACATGATGTCTTCAGGGTGGCCGAGCTTCCACATGGATATGGGAGCTGTCATGAAATTCCTAAAGTTGATCTCAGGATGTGGCAAGATTGCTGTGAAGGTACAATTACATGGGCATTCATATAGCCTTTGAATTATAATTATACAGGCGTTAGGCAGGGAAACAAATTCAGAAATAGTAATTACCAAGTTGCTCTGTTTTGGAACATCCTAAAATTTCTGTTATTATTTTTGCACACTTTCTGTGGGAGTTTTACAAAAAATGCCTGACTTGGACTGTGGTGTCATGGATCAAAGTCTCTGCTTCGCCAGTAAGCTCTGTTGATGCCCTTGGATGCATTACAAGGCTGGTATTGACATAGGACAAGTGGAGTTTAAATCCCCAGGATAAATCCCATGAGGTCTCTAGTAGAAGACTAGTGCATGTGACAAATGTTTATAAAGCCTTGTACTTTAGTTAGGCATATTTGAAAATCGCATTCATAACACACACTGCTGTTTTTTTCTTTTGGCAAGACATTAGTCTGCTTCACTCTGGATTTCAATTTGCAAGCTTTGTTTTGCCCTCTTCCAGAAAAAAAGGAAAACAATGGCTTGCAAAATTCACAGTGAAGCTTAATTTTTGCCCTAGCTCCCTTTTAAGGAAAAAACAACACCAAACCCCCCTTACCTTTGAAAATGGTAAGAAAAGTATTAGTGCATATGTAGTATTAATATGCTTACCATATTAGTACACACCTTTCCTAATGAAAGTTGTGAATCAAGCTTATGTTTGGGTTTATATGTTGCTAGTTCCCCTTACCCTCCTTTATTTATTTAATGTATATTCTGCTTTTCATCCACCTAAGCCCCCAAAGCAATTTATTGCAGAGTTAACACATGACACAGCTAAAAGCCTAATGATATAGAACTTAAAAATCAATTATTTGAACTGTAATTTTTTAAAAAAAGGGAGTCATGTAAAAGACATTGCAATGAGGATAAAAATCTCACCTCTCTCTTATTAAACACTCTTTGCATATTCTATAAATAAACAACTGCCTGTTTAAATAAAAAGATCTTTACCTGAAGATGATGAAAGGGGAGGAGGTAGGGAACTCTTAACACCAGGAGTGGAGAAGATGAAGGCTGCATGTTACACATGACATTCAAACCCTACTTTTATGGGTTCTAAAGTCTACTCTCTGTTTCCTGAAACCCCCCTCCAAAATAAAAAAATGAGGGTTTTTTTCACCCAAACTGTGCTAGATCTTCTTAATCTGGAAGTAATGCTACCCCTCTATTCTGCTTTGGTTAGACCACACCTGGAATATGGTGTCCAATTCTGGGCACCACAATTCAAGAGAGATATTGACAAGCTGGAATGTGTCCAGAGGAGAGCGACTAAAATGATAAAAGGTCTGGAGAACAAGACCTTTGAGGAGCGGCTTTACGAGCTGGGCATGTTTAGCCTGAAGAAGAGAAGGATGAGAGGGGATATGATAGCCATGTATAAATATGTGAGAGGAAGCCACAGGGAGGAGGGAGCAAGCTTGTTTTCTGCTTCCCTGGAGACTAGGACGCGGAACAATGGCTTCAAACTACAAGAGAGGAGATTCCATCTGAACATGAGGAAACTTCCTGACTGTGAGAGCCGTTCAGCAGTGGAACTCTCTGCCCCGGAGTGTGGTGGAGGCTCCTTCTTTGGAAGCTTTTAAACAGAGGCTTGATGGCCATCTGTCAGGGGTGATTTGAATGCAATATTCCTGCTTCTTGGCAGGGGGTTGGACTGGATGGCCCATGAGGTCTCTTCCAACTCTTTGATTCTATGATCCCCACATAACATTAAAGTTTTTGTTTACCTCTATACCTCAACCCTCTCCAAAACCTTGTCTCTGCCAGAATTTGGCCCAAAATGGCAAGTTAAAGTGATATGATGTCACCTCTGGTGTGCCCTCACAATTAGTATAGCCTTTGGGGTAGCTACATAGCAAAAAATGGCCCACACTTTTTACATGTTTATCTACCCCAGGCTTATATTAAAAACTACTCTGAGTGCCTCTTATATATTTAATTCCTCTGTTAATTAAGTCTGTTTGTCCTCCCACCCCCTCACATCACTAGATACTTAACAGGAAGATTTGTGGGGAGGGGGTTGTGTTGCTTTTTCATTTATAATAATTTCCAGTCTTCTTTATACGGTTTATAACATCCTACTTAATTTCAGACTGCAGAACCAGAGGACAATTCAATGCATTCTCATACCACTTTCGAGGAAGACGTTCTCTTGATTACAGTTTCCGTGAAGACAAGCCTTTAAAGCATGTGAAAATGTCAAGAACAAGGTAAATATTTTTTAAAGAAACTGGAACACAGAAACATGTACTAATATGACTGCTACTGCTGTAATGGTTTGAGTGCTGGACTCCTTATTAAGATATCTTCTACCCATGGAAACCCATTGAGTGACCTTGGGAAGTCTGACTCTTTCAGCCTCAGAGAAAGGCAATAGCAAAGTTCTGAGTAAATCTTGCCAAGAAAAGCATAGGATAGGTTCCCCATAAGTGGTACTCTGAGTACACAAATCAGCAACATGATTTGGAACACAGAGAAATACCTCAAAAACACCATAGGACTCAAGGGGTCATCTCCAATTTTATTTATTTAGTTATTTATTTATTTATATATTTATGTGGTTTTGTTGCATGCAGAATTTAGGAATGTGTCCATATCTTAACAAATAGTCATGTTTGTCTTATTTGTGTGCAAAGGGTATATTTATTGTTTTTAAATGTTTCATAAATTCCAAAGGAATTTCCCTTCTTCAGTTCCTTTCATTAAATTTATCATCATTCATGGCACTTTTCTCAACAGCCTGTATTCCTGACTATTCCTGAACTTGAAGCTCCATCTATAACTAAAGTGGCAGTTAAATTTAGACAAAGTCGAACTGATAACTCAGAAATCCTATTGGTGATGAATCTTGCAAGAAAAAAAGAAAGAAAGAAGGCATTTGAGCGCAGTATTGTTTCAGTGTCAGTACAGGTAACTTAGGATGATGGGTCTGTCCACATCTTTGACAGGAAAGCTGCTGATTCATGCTCATCATACTTCTTAATGATACTTCAGCCTCCTCTTGTGCAGTCACCTATTGCAATACTGAAAAGAAATCTGGTGTGGTGCTACAGCATCAACCTCTGATTCTATGCTGTCTATTATTTCCTTCCCAGAGGGTTAAATCTGAGGAAAATGTATGAGCCTGACAGACGTTCACCAACTCCCTATTTCTTCATAGCAGTGGTTACTATGCCAGTGAGCACAGTTCCTTCCACTCCAGAATGCACCTCTAGGTTCTCAATTTTTTAGGGTTTCCAGTTGCTTCTCAGTGTATTGTGGCTGGTAACTACCTGGACAAATTTTTACTCCAGTTCTCTTTTTTATGTATGGGATAAAAGGTCCTCATGGATATTGGATCAAACATAAACCTGTCAGGCTGCACAAAATGAGATTTTTTTTCACCTAGATGGTGGTAGAAGAAATAACCATTGTCAGCTTGGGAGTTGCTCCTCATTTATTTGTTTGTTTGTTTGTTTGTTATTTAAATATATTCTTGTTATCAGTTTTTAAGTCTCCAGTTGATCACACATCTCCAGTTATGAGCCTTTAGCAGTTTTCCACAACAAGTGAAGCTGATTTACTGATAGTTAGACTTCTGTGCCATCATAAAAGATAAGAGTTAGTTTTCCCATCAGTTCTGTATTTCTGGAATCTTGAAAACTACTGTGTTTCAGTAATCAGGATACAGTTGTATGCAGAAAGAGCTGCCTAGCTACTTGTGTGTAAGAATGAAATGCTGCTGCTTTTGCTGCTTTTAAAGGTTGTGTTTTGCTGTTTTTGAAGCTTTTTATTTCAGGTATATGGATTTTTGGTGGGTGTTGGGGGCACAAAAATTATTGTTTGTTACCCCAATGCCGATGCTGCTCCTTGGTTCATTTGCAGGTTCAATAGCCTTGTCCATGCAGTTTTGCAGCAGCCATGGGCTGAAAAAAACTGAGAAAATACTTAAATGGAAAGTTCCCCTTATGTTGCTATAAGACCTTGACTGTTTGAATTATACAAACGGTGAAGAACAAACTTACCCTGAAAAGGTTCTTCATAATATAATTCAGATGTTAAACAACTGTCACAGCTGTTAAAGATGATGTGCTGAGGAGTATGGTTAATGAGGATATTTTCTCCCTTGCTCCTAAGATGGACTATGGCGAAAGAAAGGGAAAAGAAGTGAGTAGAGGTGGCATGTTTTCATGTGGTTTATTCGTAAGTTTTAATGTTATTCAGATCCCAGGACTAGATGAACTACAACCAAGGATAGTAATGGCACARGTAATCTGCCTTGCCTATCCTTTTCAACATTAATCATTTGAAAAGCCCTGTAGAACAGGAGAAGTCTCAGCAGACTGGAATAAGGCGAAAGTTGTCTCTATCTTCAAAAGTGGGGGGGGGGGCAACAATTACTGCCCAATCACCCTGACACCAATGCCAATGGCTGCATCTACATCAAATAAAAATGTTTTTACTAGCAAGCTATAAGAATGAAGGATGATTTCCTTACTATATATAGGGCTTTGGATTTGAACAGAGAGGGTTGATGCTGAAAGTATAAACTTGTTAGGTGAAAGAAATTTTTTAAATCTGTATATGGCCTCTCTCTTATTGTTTATGGAGCCCCAGTGGCACAGCGGGTTAAACCACTGAGCTGCCGAACTTGCTGATGGAAAGGTTGGTGGTTTGAATCCAGGGAGCAAGGTGAGCTTCCACTGATAGTCCTGGCTTCTGCCAACCTAGTATTTCGAAAACATGCAAATGTGAGTAGTTCAATAGATACCACTCCGGCGGGAAGGTAACAGCGCTCCATGCAATCATACTGGCCACATGACCTTGGAGGTGTCTGTGGACAACGGTGGCTCTTCAGTTTAGAAAATGAATGAGCATCACCCCCAGAGCCGTACATGACTAGACATAATGTCAAGGGGAAACCTTTACCTTTACTTATTGTTTATAAAGACAAATTTATGGTTAGAGCATAATGGTAATTTATGCCTTCCAATAAATTCTGAAAGACTGGGATCTCGTTCATACTTCTCATAATTGCAAAAGAGTTGGAAATATATACAGGAAACTGCTTATTATATATTGTGACAGTTTCAGCTAAATATTATGGGGACAGGCGATTTTATTTTCCCTGAAAACAGGCTTTTTGAATACCATCTGTGTTTTGTCTTTCCAAATCTAAATTAAAATAGAGAAACTTAAGAACTTGGTAGGAATCCTGTGTTCTTGTGCAGGAAGCAATTTAAGGTCTCCAAAATACTAGAATATGGTGATAATGAAAATATGAGGAAGATAAATATAAACAAAACAAATTAAATGGGATTTGGAATGAAGTGTAAGTAGCAGAAGTGAGGACTGGACAGGAAGAATAACTGCTTGATGAGACAATCTCCTTTGTTGTCTTATGTAGCATAAGAAATCCTTTGCAAAAATAAAAACAAACCAAAAATCAGCAAGAGTAGTTCTTCAAATGGTTTTCTGGATACACACTGAGCTCCAGTCCCACTCCCCTCAATCTGGTGGCCTCTTTTTGCTGGCTGTGCCAGATTTTGAACTGAAAAGAACTAGTCCAAGAACTAGTTCCTTGAATATACACAGTACAGCAGACAGACAAAGCTCAGGTGCAGAACCAAGGCTCTTTACCTGTACAGAAATGATGTGTATAGGAGTGTCTGGAGAGCATTGAAACAATTAACCCTAACTTCCATAAACAGCACTTCTACTGTGCTGTTTGTGTCTCATTAAAATTTTGTTGATAGCTAAAGACTTTTAACCATTCCCCTTCTTCACATCTGTAATGCAGGCATACAAATTCATGTACCACCCCTCATATACTGTGTTTCTATCCCTTTCCTCCTCAGACTCATTCATTGGATGCCAACCTACCATTTAAAATATTCTGATCGTTGTAGATCTCATAGCAAGGGTGGAAGGAGCCCCCGGTGGTGCAATGGGTTAAACCCTTGTGCCGGGGGGACTGCTGACTGACAGATCTGAGGTTTGAATCTGGGGAGAGCACAGATAAGCTCCCTCTGTCAGCTCCAGCTCCCCATGCAGGGACATGAGAGAAGCCTCCCACAAGGATAGTAAAACATCAAAACATCCGGGTGTCCCCTGGGCAATGTCCCTGCAGACAGAAGCGACTTGCAGTTTCTCAAATCGCTTCTGGCACACACACACAAAAAAAAGTAAGGGTGGCTGAGGGGAAAAATGGAGGCCTGTGGGAAAACAATAACTATGCTGTTTCTCTTTTGGAAATGCTTTTATATGGACATTGAGTAATTATTGAGAATTTTGTGGCAGTTTTCTGACTCATTTGCTAAACATATTTCAAAAGGTGGTGTGGGTAATATCAGAAGTGACTCTGAAAGTAAAGCGAAACCATAATATTAATTCATACCAGCAGACGTACAGCTATAAATTGCTTGCTTTTAAATGTGAAACATCCCAGCAAGGTATTCAAAGCCCTTTACTGCAGAGGAAGCCTCAGAAAAATAAATAATAATGTGCAGGTCAGAATGTCATTTCATGAACAAAATAACTTTTCATCAGTGCAGTGGGACTTGTTCCAACATAAATCACATTTCATTTTAAGAGTATTATATATATTTAGGAGGACAAAATTTCTTTTATGTAAGGAAAAAATATGCGCCATGAAACTGCGAGACTACTTGAAATATTAAAATATAAGGTGCCCTCAGCTTTTTAATGCCTCACACAATGAACAGATTTACTCAGCTATGTGTGTTCAACCACCATCGAACACACATACCTGACTGGCCTTCCTAGAAATGTGATGTCATGCTGTCCATCCACACCACACTCCTAGCTTGTCTTTTATTCTTTCTCCTCCTTTCTTGAGCTGGAGAATGAAAACACAATGCAATAGAAGCAAACATTGTATATATTAAAAGTTGATGTTTCTGGCTGCATCTACATTGTAGAATTAATAGAGTATCATGCCACCTTAACTACCAGTGCTGTGGAATCATGGGAGTTGTAGTTTGGTGAAGCACCAGCACTCTTTGGCAGAGAAAGCTTATGACCTTGCAAAAATTCAACTCCCACAATTCCATAGCATTGATCCATGGCAGGTAAAGTGGTGTCCAACTGCATTGATTTTATACCTATGATTTCTATGTGTTGGTCTGGAGTGAGGCTTTGGTATTAGGAGACATGCCTAAGTTTCACTACCATCACAGGCTGAACTCCCAAGTGCCCAAAAGGCGATAAT